GAGATTTTGTATTTGTTTTCAAGAGAACTATACTTCTTTTACTAAGAACTTTTTCTTCAAGCAATAAATATTGTTTCTTGCCGCTAATAATTTTTTATCAAGAGTGTTGACTACTTTTAAATTAGTTTAAGGAACCTTTTTTTCAGTTTACAGTTGTAACAACCCGAATAATTGACGCCATTATATTTTGAACAATGACAGATTACGTGGTAACCATAGATACCGTCAGTTCACCCGACACAGTTCTTTTGAAACAAAAGTTTTCTTAGGTTATTTTGTATAGAATATTGAAGAATTGACAAAGAATATTTTAAACAATGTTTTAAGATTCCATTTAAGGATTATAAACGTTTCCCAGAAACTTATAATGTACCAGGGTTGTAAAACACCCTGTATATAGAATAGATTTTATAATTTCGAAGTAAGTGATTAATTTTATAAGTTTTACATAAACTTGAGCCTCCTTTCATCCATTGTAAACCTGAAAACTGATGTAAACCATCTTCGGCACGAAAGCGTTTTTTTGCGTATTTTAAGATGGTCCCGCGACAACATAAATAGTGTCCGATCGGTGTTTTTTTCGTGGTCCGGGTTCAAAATTACAATACAATATAATTCCAAGCGCGAAACGGCCGCGCGGCCTATAAAGGTTCTGTGTGTGGCGTTTTCGCATAGTTTAGAGAAGCCAGTGGCGCTTTCCGACCAACAAACGGACCGACACCAGGCGCAAAAAAACCTATTTCAATACATAAAAATTCAACTTTATATATTAAAAAGAAAAAGTTTCACTTTTTATTTGGGCTAAGTTTTTATATGAATCTGCGGAATTTGGAAAAGTATACAAATTATATTAAAATTAAGTAAAAAGCATAACAATTAAAATTCATGAAAAAAGTCTTAAACTTTTTGTGTAATTATTTTAACAAAGGAAAATATTTTACCAAAAATTTTGTAGGGATTTTATCAAATTCAGGTTACAGATTATTTTGTTAATGTTTAACAAATTATTTTGTTATAAAAGTACACGTGATTTAAGGCAAAACATCAAAACATTTCCCACTGACAATACAAGTTCAACTGACTTCAGCGTCTGCAACTTATGTTTCTGCTTACTTTATTCTAATTTGTAACGTGTTTGTAACAACTGTCCAAAGTGTTTATAATATATTACCAGAAATTTATTATTGTTATTCGGATTCCTTATACCTATTTAACGAGCGTGCGAAGTGCAAAGTATCCGAAAAAAGATGCCATCAACGGTTTTCAAACTGAAATTAGGGGATACAGTGAAGTGGGTTAAAGTCACGAAATACATAAGTAAGAGTTGTAGTAGTACTGATAATTATATTGTACATAATTTTTAATTTGATGACTTCAGAATGGTGTGTTATTTAATTGTGTGTATGTTATTTTTGTGTTTAGTAAATTGATTAGTAAAGCAACATTTCTTATCAAACTTCTTTTCATTTAAGTAAACTTAGTGTAAACTTAACATAAAGTTATGTGAACCTGTATATATAAAATCTGGTTAATATTTGGTTAAAATTAACATAAAAAATGTACAGTGTAAATAAATAAAAAAATGTCCACAATTTCAGCCTGGAAAAATGTCACATTACCGCCTTACTATTTAAAGGAAAAAACTATTATTTCCACCGGTATTTTTCTCCCAATTTAACCACTGTATAAACTCTTATTTAACCTTAAATTAACTATAGAAATGCATCATATTTCAAAAATGGTGATAAAATTATTAAATTTACATAAATGGCGGATGCGCCGGTGTAAATTTTCCTATTCTCATAATCTGCATTCAATGTTTTTTTTGCTTTTTAAAATTAACAACCATTAATAAAAATGGTTTTATTTGTTTGAAAATTTTCTTAGGTAGTTAACTTATGTATGCATTCGTCACTGCAAAAAACCCAAAAATTTGCCTAATAGTGGTTTTTGAATCGAAGCAAGCGTCGAACAGCCAATTAAACAAATGCCGATGATGGGATTTATTAAGAGAGCCGACTAGATTTATGTGTTATTTTTTCAAGGGATTTGGTTTCCAAAATATCTGAACCATTTTGTCGGTAAGAATTGTTTCTCATTATACAGGGTGTTTGGTTCTACTCTTTGGAGCTTGATAAAGCAGTTACTACGGAATAAAGTAAATAAAACAATATTTTTACGAAAAAAAGTTTTATTTTTATGAAAGTTGTATGCACAGTGGAATATTTTTTGCTTAGTTTTTATTGTCCAAACTCTTACAATACCAATATACAGTGTGTCCACGGATGGACTTAACTATACTTGTAAAAATATTTATTTTCTATTTTACGAAAAAAAGTCATTCTTTATAATTTCTTTTGCTTATTATATAAATACGATTCACGTTGAGAAACTTCCATTTTGTTTTATAGGATGCGAAAAAAATACAATTGTAGATTTTGCAAAATTAATAATTTTTAAATACATTTTTTTGAAGGTTTAATATGAAGAGCAAAAAAGGCAGATGATTTTTTTTATGCAAGTTGTTACTAAGATATTTGTTATTAAAAATAAAATCGATTCAGGTCCTTACTTGAGTGGTCCTATTATTTTGTAGAAATTGACTGCTATCTAATTTTGTGATTATGAATCAAGGTTGTTGCTTTCAACTGACATGTCTACAATGTCTACAATTATTTGTTAAAATTTGAAAACTATAGTTTTACATTTGTAAATGAAAAAAATATTTGTTAACGACTCTTGTAATGTCAAATTTATGTTCCGCATAAAATTTCGGGCTCAATTTTTTCTAAAACTGAGTAGTTCCGCTGTAATACCGAAACATCGGCAAAATTGATGCGATTTGAACTTTGATCTTTAATAACTTCTTAAACAATTGGTTTAGCAAAAAATCATATTATATTTTTTTGTAGAGCGTTTAATTCTCTACAAAAATATCAGAACACATTTTCATATTATGACCTTTGGTGATGAGTTGAAAAAATCAGAAGGAACAAAAACATTTTTCCCATGTTATTCTTATGGAAAGTGAAGTTACGATATGAAAATTAAGAGCTCATATTTTCACAGACTCATTTTTATACCTAAACAAAACTTTTGAGCCTGTTTGCAAGAAAAAAACCTTAATATATATTTGAAATATGTGAATACAAAATTTTGAAATTTAATATTCTAGGTAAATAGTTTCTTAATGAAGGTGGCGTGGACCGTCCAAAAACCCTGTATATTGAGGATGAGAAAAATTCGCGGGTATTTAGGGAATGCGATCGGTCAAGAATTTACGCGTGCGGAATATTAAACCTTCGAAGACAATGCCCTGGAATTCGTTAACTGTTCGATTAAGAATGTCCCAGCGTAGCTAATAGTGCCTTTTTGCGCCCCGGCCAACCAGATAGCAGCGGGTCCACGGCATCGAAACGCCGCGAAAAACTCACATTTCATACGGTTGCCACACACAATCGCAACAACCATAACCGCAATCAGCCACTACCCAAATACCACTGTTGCTGACCACCAAATAAATAAATGTCGTCTGTTACACCAAATTCCCTTTCAATTCTAATAATACTAATTTTGTCATACACAGTAAAAATATATTTGTTAATTTTAAAATAATAATAATAATAATAATACACCAAATTCCCTTTCAATTCTAATAATATTAATTTTGTCATACACAGTAAAAATATATTTGTTAATTTTAAAATAATAATAATAATAATAATAATAATAATGTGTTTAATAGCATAGCTATAAAAAATATGTTTAATAATAATAATAATTATTAAAAGTAAAAAGTTTAGGTAGATCTGCTTGTGAGTTAGAAGTGTGATGAAAATAATAAAGTTTAAATTATAGACCTCTCCAAGATAAACTATTTTACAAGTGGGTGTAATTGCAGTTATGTTAAAAATAATAAATGATTCAAAAACCCAAACCTTTCCAAAAATGAGTAAACGATAAATTCGTCTTTCGATGTTCCCAGTCTGTTAAACGTCGGAAAATAATTTTCGATTTTTCATATTTGCAAAACACGCGCTATTTTCTATTTTGAAAACGTGAATAGTCTCGTGTCAGGACTTAACCCACACAGGCACTCTACTCGCAAATTCCCACACCTATGGTATGCTCGAGTAAAAATTTTATTCAGCCTTCACTTGGACTAATTTTCGTAGTTTTAAAGTAGGCGGAAAATTCGTCCAAAATTTGTGTAATAAGCGGATATCTAGATTTAGAATTTTACTATACGAGTTTTGACATATCGCTTCCTTAATTAATAATACTGACTCGTTTTTTATTCTTCAATTATTTAATTTTCAGTGAAGAACAATAAAATACAGGGTTTCACCAAATAAGTTATCATCCTTTAAGCTGAAATAAGAAAATTTTTCCTCTATCATTGTTGCATTAGTGTCATTTTTTTTATAAAAAAAATCATTCAAATTTTTATAAGTAAAGTGTTGTGTGGTTGTTCCTGACCTAGGACAACTGACGGAAAATGTGCTTGCACAGTGGGCAATAATCTACATTAATTATTTCGAGGTTTCCGTGGTTTTCCCGTCGATTTTAAATTCACCTTTCAATTTTTACGTCGATTAATGCTCATGTAGCTATTTTTGTGTTCCAAAAATTCTTAATAAACGTTCAACTATCCCGCCGTTATTATCCACGCAAAATTGACAGCGGCGTATAAAATTATGATGTGTCGCTCATGCTATCATACCCGGTTGATTTCGGATTTCATCTGCCGCTGCAGTGTCAAGTTTATAGGTAAAAACAATGATGATATGATATAATATATATATTATGGGATATATTTTTATTAAAAAACAGTACCTCTAATGGAAAAATGATAGAGGAAAACTTTGCTTCTTTTAGCGGGTACTATCATCCCTCCAAATGATGAAAATTTATTATGTGACACCCTGTATAGCTTTATTAAATAAGAAAACAATTTTTAATTTAGCTTTGATTGATTTTTCTTCTTTTTCTGCTTGCAGGACCGAAACCTGTCGAAGTGACTCTGGAAAGAAAAATCCCACTAAAAGAAGTTCAGAGTACGCAACTGATATGCAAAACTAGAGGACTGCCCATTCCAAATATAACGTGGAGGAGGAACGGTAACGACCTCCACAGATCACAAAAAAGTATTCAAATCATCTACAATAAAAAGTAAGGATTACCTATATATTTTTAAATCAAGTTTATACACTGTGACCCATTTGTTTGCGACTCACCCCTGTAAAATCTTTATTTATTACAAGTGCCATTTTAACCTAATTTGTTCTAAAGTGGAAATCTTAATAAACTGTATTTTTGGAGCAAAAAACATCATATTTTTATAAAAAAAGGCCTACTATGGTACGCCTTTTTAACATTTATTAAATAATTTAACTAAAAACTATATATACATATACTGTTTATCAAGAAGTACACTTTAAAAAAAATCGCACAATAAATAAAGATTTTATAGGGGAGTCGCAAACAAATGGATCACACTTTGTATGTAAGGGAAGTGGAAGCACATCACAACTTAACAATTTTTTAACATGACTTACTCTCGCCATTACGATAATTATGGAAGCTTCCACGTCTAAAAATGAATGTTTGAAAAAAATTATTCTTCAATTAATAAGAATTTATCAAATTTATTTGTAATAACTTTATTAATATTTATGTATGTTTTCTTTTTGCAAAAGTGGTGAAATCGATAGGTAAGTTTTTCCATGAAATAAAAACAGTTTTAAATTGATTAAAGCTTACAATTAATTGGTATTATTTGCAAACTAATTGGAATTAAAGTGCTTTAGCATACAAAATTTAAAATCGGACATTTAAGATAATATATATAAATAAATATTATGAACAGTCAAACAGTGTTTTTGGGAGAATAAATTTGGACTATCCTACCGGTTGCGCCATTATACAGTGTGTCTACTTAAGTTGGCAACATATGGGAAACTTTCTTATTATTAATTTTACAAAGAAAAGTTATTCCTATAGAAAGTTCTGCATGTTCTAAAATCTAAAATAAAATCATATACCTACCTTTATTTGTGATAATATCGAAAACTGTTATTATGAAAAGTTGTTCGGAATGAAAAAGTATATTTTAATATTTAATTACATCTTTATACTATTTTTTTTTAAATTTTTCTTAAATTACCGATAACGAACATTTATCTTTTTTATTTATTACTAACATGATAACCTTTCCGTTCCGTTCAGAAAGTAATAAGCAAATTCTGATGTTTTGACATTCAATGTCAAACATTTCTTGCTATCAAGAAATCATTTGTTTGTCAGTTCATCCTGGATTACATGTAAACAAAAAAGAAAAAATGATTTTTTTCATGTAATGGAAGTAATTGCATATTTAAACGTAGTTTTTAGTTCTAATCAACTTTTTATAATAAGAATTTTCGATATTGTCAAATATACCTACTCTTGAGTAAGATTCATATTTTTTGACAAACCGCGTTTACGACTGATTTTTTTTTATATTTGATGATTGTATTTTAGATTTTAGAACATGCAGAACTTTTTATGAAGAATAACTTTTTTCTTAAAATTAATAATAAAAAAGTTTTCCATATGTTGACAACTGAAGTAAACACAATGTATAGGTATAATTTTTAACGCAAAACTAAACTAAATTGGCAAACAATCACCAAGGTGGTAAATTTCTTTAAAAATTGCTGATTTTTAAAAATCTAATAAAAAATAAAGAAAATTTGCCATTGGTAATTTTGCCCCCTAGCTTGTAATAAAAGCCTTGTTATTATTATTATTATTTTTTTTATTTAACAGGAGGAAAAGTACGTTAATAGTGAAAAATAGCACGAACCACAGCAACGACATATTCGAGTGCATTGCCACAGGGGTGGACGGAGCAGAAGAAAAGGCATTTTTTTCGGTGTCAGCCTCAGCGTCGTCATATGATGGTAAATACTTTTTTTTTAACATTTTGTCTAATTTATTACTTATCATATTGTTTTTAAACACCATACAAATGTTTTAAAGAGGTTTTAATTTTAAATTAAAAGTCAAATAGTTAATTAAGTTCGGGCACTATAAGAATTCTAGATTGCTGATGCGCATGTTATAGCTAACTCGCGCACCATGTGACGTCATGTCAACATTATCTTTTATTACAGAAATCGAAGACTTTTTTTTCTCGTATGCACTTATACCTGCAGAATTGGCATATAAATGTTTGTCAACATTCACAACACAGTTTAGCAATAATAAACGATAATATCCCGTGTAGTCTTAGCAACTTTATTAATTTTTTACTAGAAAACCAGACGGTTTATCTTTCTAAAACTGAAATGTATTTTAAGAAGAGTACTACAACCTAGAATATTTTCAAAATTTTCTCAAGACTAATTTATACAGTGTGTCCACAGATGGACTTAACTATACTTGTAAAAATATGTATTTTCAATTTTTCAAGGATAAGTCATTTTTCATAATTTCTTTTGCTTGTTATATAAATCCAATTCGCGTTGCGAAACTTTTATTTTGTTATACAGGGTGAGCAAAAATACAGATTTTCAAAATTGAAAATTTTTAAATATTTTTTTTTGAAGCGCTAATATAAAGAGTAAGAGGAAATCAAAAAGTCTAATGAAGTTTTTTCATATGAGTTTTTAATACCAAAATATTTGATATTCAAAATTAAAGATATAAGTTTTCAAATTTTAACAAATAATTGTAGACATGTCAGTTGAAAGCAAAATAATAGGACCTGAATCGATTTTATTTTTAATACTAAAAATTAATTTGGCTTTTTGGTTTCTCCTAACAAGCTTTTCATATTAGACCTTCAAAAAATGTTTTAATTTTGCAAAATCTTCAAATTTTTTGCGCATCCTGTACAACAAAAATTTTGTTGTTTGTTACAAAATGGAAGTTTTTCAAAGTGAATCATATTTATATAATAAGCAAAAGAAATTATGAAGAATGACTTTTTTAAAAAATTGTAAATAAATATTTTTACAAGTATAGTTAAGTCCACCCGTGGACACACTGTATTAAAAGGGCTAATTTGCTAAAGGTACGCTTGATTGAGATGATTTGGACCATCAATCATTTGGTAACGCGTTTTTGTTTTTGCCGGTGGTATCCGATTTGTTTATGTTCTAAACGTATTGGGCTACATTTGAAATAAGGCGCCAATGTTACATAATTATGGCAATGTATTAATAATACATTGGCACGTTGTCAAAACAACATCAGTTTTTGCCTATCTTCATGCACATTTTAAAAATACATCCCGAAAATTGTATTTCGCAAATAAAAGCTATAAAATTAGTTAAGATCATTTAAATTTTTTTGGACAATTGAAAAAGAATTTTTTTTTTTAATATTTTAAGAAAATAAATAAAAAAGATTTTACTTTTATAAAGGGAAATAATCTTAACTAATGTTTGCTAAAAATTGAGATACAATTTTTTTTATTTGCCTATCTCCAGATACTCAGAAATGCGTATATTTACTATGCTTTACATAACAAAATTCCACTTTAACATTTAAATAAGGAATATAGTAAAATAATTGAGGTTATGCATCTTTCAGTTTAATTTCACCTTATTTTCTAAAAATAATGCAATACAGTATCCTTCTATGGGTCCATTAAAGTAGAGAAAAGTTTCGTAATTACATATTAACATTAAATTATAAATTGGAAAAATTTTTCACAATAAAAAATTTTTCCAAGTGACACTATAAATGCACATAAAAAATTGCACTAACTAAAAAGAAAGACATTAGTTTACTTCACATGACAAAGAAAATTAAATACTGCAAATACTAAATGCCGTGACGAAAGATATCCTTCAAAAACACACGCTGCTTGTTTGTAACGCGCAAAATAACAATAGGGATACCACTGCCTGCAGCGGCGCCATCTCGTGCCACAATTATAAACTAAATGGATTACAAAGCTGTTTTAATTTAGGCGGTTTGTGACGAAGTAGACATTAAATATAAGGACATGGTTTGGTCACGCTTAAATAATTATTCACAGACATATTATCAAATTCTTTGTTAGTACTGAGGAGCTACTTATTGCAATATGATGGGGATATAGGGTTATAGAGTGTGATGCTTTCAACTAATTAAGACATTAAAAATATTTTATTTCCACCTTCTTAGTAAATGACATTTTATAGGTTAATTTTGTTGTTTTTGTATCCAAGTAAAAGATACATTATGGGAACAGACCTGTAATATTTTACGGGCTTGTATAAGAGACCTGTAAAGTTTTACAGGCTTGTAGAAAAGCAATTTATGAAATGAAATGTCACATTTGACATATTAATTAAAATTTTAAATTTGAAAATCTTTATCTAAAGGTGAAAATAAAAGTTTGTACGTGTCACGCTTTGCAATTAATCTTTACTAGGCTCACTGTATTATGGGGTTCGCTCCTGCGTCGCTCACCCCACAAACTTTCAGCTCGCCCGTAAAGATTCATTTACAAAGCTTGACACGTAAATAACTATTTATATTTAATTGAAACATTTTGTATTAATTTTTGTTATTTTAAGTTATATTAGCTGTCTCAATTTATTATTTCTTGATAAGAAATGTTTTTTATTTTTTTTTTAGAGAAAGATTGTACGTCTACAGGATACTGTCTTAATGGGAAATGCACTTATATATCCTCCATGAGAGAGCCTTATTGCCTGTAAGTATAAGATATTGTATGTATTTTTTTAAGAATGGGAAATAAAGTTTAAAAGAAATCCAATAGTTGATTTTCAAGCGTAATAACTTACCCCAACCCTGCTACTGTTTTCTCCCGATACAAAAACCTGGCAACACTGTGTGGGTATTTCATAATATAAAATAATCCACATTTAATTGCAGTTGTCATGGAAATCAAACCAAATAAGAAAGATAAGTTTAACATAATTGGTATCTGTGCAAGCAAAAATCAAGACATACCTAATAATAAACAAATTTAAACTTTTTATTTCTGAATCTACACTAAAAATGTGTTCGCAATTCTTCTATATGTATAAGTAAATTATTTTTTTAATATCCTGTGCGTTTTATAGTCAAAATAACCATTTTATGACTTGCTCTAGCGTATCCAAAACACACAGATTACAGCTTGAAAAGTGTTTTTTTGCTACCTGCTCTCCTACCCTTTTACTTAAAATTGCTTTCTCACTCCATCCAATACACGAACAGTATAACCAAGTATTTTTTATTTTCTTTTCAGATGTTTTGATGGCTTCTTTGGGGACAAGTGTCAGAATTTCAAACCCCCAGGCAGTATGTATACTCCACCCTCTCAATTTGCTTGTAAATTAGGGCTTCAGACAAAATTCAATTGTTAGCGTACGATTTAAAAAGTGATCTGTGGTGATCTGATTTTGTCAATTTGTAAATTACTTTTGTTACCGATGTATATATGAAATATAAAAAACCGGTATAAAAAACCTCGTCTAACAGATTAAAAAAAACGATTAAATCCGAACGGTTTAACGGTGGTGATTTCTGAAAGATGATTTGTACATTTGTATGTAAACAATCCTAAAGAATAAGACTGTCGCTTTCTATACTGTACGTTTTTCTTTTTTCGAACAGTCACATCACGATTCTAGGCTTTTCACCAGAATATGAATATTATTTCCAGTTCTTTTTTACTTTAAAAAAGTATTAATGCATTCCTACTGAAGTCGGGGGCAAAAACGTCACACTAAACAATATCTTTAACTTTTAAATTGATAGTTAAATATCATAATGTATATCCAAATATACTATGTAATATCTATTTTTTGTATATGGTCAAATAAATATAAAAAAGTTATACTTCTTTGATGTAACTAAAAAAAATTTAATAGAAAGAGATAAAATTATCCAAGACATTAAAATTTTGGAAATTTAAAACATAATCAATCATCAATCATCAAAATTTAAAAAAAAATCTAAATTTAAGCAATTCTAGAAACTGACGAGTTTTTAACAATTTTTAATATTTTTTTAAATTTAAAGAATTTAGGATTTTTGAAAATTTCAAAAATAGATATTTAAAATTATTTTAATAGAATCCAAAATTCTTAAACTTTTTACGTTCCAAAATATCCAAAATAATTTTAAATTTTAAAATTTTAGAAAATGTCAAACATTTTCGAAATTTTTAATATTTTAGAACCTTTAAAATTTAAAGAATTTTGTATTTTTGAAAATTGAAATTTAATACATAATTTGAAGTTTTTTAAAATTATGTAAATAGAATCCAAAATTCTTAAATTTTTTTGGTTTCTACTTTACAAAATATTTATAAATTTAGAAAAAATGGAAATTTTTGGGAATATTTATAAATTTTGGAAATTTAATAATACATAATTAAAGTTAATTTTAAAATCATCTAATTTGTAAGTTTCATAATTTTGAAATTTTTGAAAATTTTAAAAAATTAAAAAAAGAATTAAATTTCTGGAAAATGTCAAATATTTTCGAAATTTTCAATATTTTAGAACTGTTTTCAAAATTAATCTAAAGAATGGATTTTTTAAAATTTTGAAAATACTAATTTATTACATAAGTTTTTTAAATAGAATCCAAAATTCTTAATTTTTTTTAGTTTCCAAAATTTCCAAAATATTTTAAATTTTTGACATTTTTAAAAATTTTGGATTTTTGAAAATTTAAAAAAAAAATTCTAGAAAATATTTTCGAAATTTTAATATTTTAGAAATTTTTTTAAAGTTTGATCATTTTTGAAATTTAATAAATACATTAAGGTATTTTTAAAAACATGTAAATTTGTCACTCATCGCTTGGTAAATTTTAAAATTTTGAAATTTTTGGAAATTTAAAAAAATTTGGATTCTTGAAAATAACGGACAAGTTATAAAAATCCTAGTATACGATCCCCACTCTCTCATATAGATTTTTGGCCAAATTCGTACTTTCGTTGCCTGCTAAATGACGCGCCAAAAAAGTATAACTTTCATCAATAAACAGCATTTATTTTAACAATTACAAAATATATTTTCCAAATACGGGAGCAATGCAATTTGTAAAAGATACTCGTATCATATTTCTTACAGACTAATGATTATTAAGATATTTTTAAACTAGTTTTTGCTCCCACTAAATACAAACATACAGTGTGAACCGCAACAGTCCCGAAAAGAGCCCTTGCGGTATACCTCGAATTATTTATTCTGAGGCTTTGGACAAAAGTTTACGGACATTCTGTATGATGTTTTGTGCTAATCGTGCCATATTAATTTATTTATTCATTAACTACTTTGGTTTATTTGCAATATCTTATAAAAAAGTACTAATTTCACAATGATGAAATACATATTATGATATATAAATAAGATAATGTAAATACGTATTGCATCTTTGACTATTATATACTGTGTATATACTTATATATTTTCCTACTTAAGCGTGTTCTAATTCTCAAATGGTTCAAGCATGTCAGATTCCGGTGAAAAGTAAACGTACCTATAAATATCAGGGACCGATATTTTACTTAATTTTGTATAGAGTCATGTAGATATATTTATTTATTACATCTATACTCACAACAAATACTAAAAATGAAAAAAAATCTCTAAAAAATCTAGTTGTAAACTTATTAATAAATTATAAATAAATGAAATTTAAGTTTTGTATTATTTTGTAAAACCTATAAGGCCCTAGATTATCATGACGGGATTTATATTGAAGAACGTGTAAATAGGTATGTAAACAAAATTTTGCCTGCTTTTTTTGAAATTAACCTTTTTCCAAATAACTTTCTACTAATCTACATCGTAGAGATTTGTTGTGAGTTTATGATGTGTTGATTTTACTAATACGCATGAAGAAAAAAATTATATATCGTAGCTAAACAAAATATCTGCCCCATTCACACCTATACATACCGTGTCTACTTTAGTTGGCAACATCTGGGAAACTTTTTTATTATTAATTTTAAGAAAAAAAGTTATTCTTCATAAAAAGTCCTGCATGTTCTAAAATCTAAAATACAATCATCAGATATAACAAATTTTTATTCGTATACGCGGTTTGTCAAAAAATATGAATCTTATTCGAGAGTAAAGTACCTTTATATTTGACAATATCGAAAATTTAAAAAAAAAAAAAGTTGATCAGAACTAAAAACTACGTTCAAATATGCAATTACTTCCATTTACATGAAAAAATTCATTTTTTTTTGTTTACAAAAACAATGCAAATGTAACTGTAGTTACATGTAATCTAGGATGCACTGACAAACAAATGATTTGTTGATAGCAAGAAATGTTTGACATTGAATGTCAAAACATCAGAATTTGCTTATTACTTACCTATCGGTAATTTAAGAAAAAAATTGTAAAAATAATGTTTAAGTAGGTATTAAAACATAGTTTTTCATTCCAAACAACTTTTCATAAATACAGTTTTCGATATGCAGAACTATTTATAAAGAATAACTTTTCTTCATAAAATTAGTTTCCCATATGTTTCCAACTTAAGTAGACACACTTATTAATACACCATGTAGAAATAATTAAAAGTAGTAAGAGGGTATAACTGTACATAACTAGTATTGGTTTTTATTTTGATTAATATTTAAGTCGATGTGTACTAGTTATGTTTTGTTTCAGGTAGATAGATGAATGGGGTTTTATTCTAAATCACCATTATACTTTTGGTAAGAATTACCCACAGTTTCCTCATTTAAACCCAAAATTAAAGTTAAATTAAAACAAGATACACTTTTTTCGTTTTCAATTTGCCCTATATTTTTCTTTATACATGACATATATAATATATCACCTATGTATTTAATTTTGATTTATTTTAAATATGCACAATTACATTTATCACCATATACCAGGTACCAGGTGTTATGTAATTAATGTAATATATTAAAATACTGAATACCTACCTTTTGACATAAGGAGTAACGGAAAAATATTTTAAAAAATATTTTCCAAAGATAAAGAAAAAATATGCATTAGAAGTTTTTTATATTTTTTGTGATACGCCACTGGTTACACACTTGCGTTCTGTGAGTACATAGATACCAACCAACAAAGTAGCTGCGCGTTACCAGATGTAAAAAATTGTTAATAAAAATTTGTCTCGCAAAAAATAAATAAAAACTCAATAAATACAAGTTTTATGCACTTAGAGCTCTAATACCCATCTGAATTAGAAAATCTGATTAGAAAATTTAGTACCTATTTTAAAAACTCCATAACCACAAAATTAACTTTTTCATCGGTTTTTTTCTTTTTACTTAGATAAAAATTAGGACAAGTTCACAGGTTAAACTTTAAACATTCAATTTGTATAAATAAATCCAAAAGCACTTCCTTTAGGTCCGGTTTATCAATGTCCGGTTAAAGTTGCAGTTAGTTATCTGGCAGATAATCTCTATGGATACCAATGTTCTCACAACATTCGATATGGAATTTAACTGTCAGATAGACTAACTGGAACTTAACCAGAGATTGATAAACCGGCCCTTAGTTAAGATATTTACTATTTGAGCACATAACCTAAAATTTGAAAGAAATGCACTAGACTCTGTCATAAAAATTGCCATATTTTGTTTGAAATTTACCTTACAAAATTACAAAAACGACATAATAAACAATTAATAAAAACGCCAACTTAACAATTCGCATTGTTGAATTTGTCATTTTTGTAATTAAGTTGAATTTAAACAAAATTTGGCAACTTTTTTGACAGAATCTGGAAACGCTGGTTGTTACCAACCATAACATAATAAATTAAATTCCTAGTTCCTAGTAGATCAGTGGCGTCCTTTTTGGTAGGATAAAGGTTATTATAAATTCTTTAATATATCTATTACATTAATTACATAACACCCTGTATGTATGTAGACAAAACACCAGGTATATGCATATGCATACATGTATGTAGACAAAATTATATATATTTTTTAATGTCTACAATATACCATGATTAATTTTTTTTACATGAAAATACTTCCAAACGGGATTTGTGGTATTTTTTATTTTAAATTTTCTTCAGAAAACCTTGTATTAAAAAAGTAAGTTTTGAATTCGCTAAAATGTGGGTAATTTAAAAAAAAATGAACTTATATGGTTATTTTTTATAATTCCTTTGTGTACTAACACAGTAATCCACTGTTTTATTAAAACAAAAAAGTTTGTGATTGTAATAGAAAAAGTAATATTTTTACTACCAGCCTTAAAATTTAATGGAAATGATTAATATGTAATGTAAAATGTAAAATATTATATATAATATTATAATATTAGAGTTATTATATTATAATCCCTAACCTTATAACATCTATTAATTATACTATTTGCTTTTTTGTTTATAGCTGAGAACTATAGGTTTAAAAGTTCTATTAGTAAAAAAATAATTTATAACAATTAACTATTACAAGTATTAAGTTTATTTCCATTGTTCTTATAATAATATAATTCACAAAATATGTTTATAAAAAATTATACCATTAATGGTATTAATAAATAATAAAAATAGAATTGACAAAAAAATTAAATTAATTAATTATATTTTTTACCCCCTGAACCATTAAAATATATAAGATGCTTTTAATTAACTGAAAATAAAAAAAAATTACATAACTCTTTACGTTTAATAGCTTTAGTAGCTTTAAAAAAATCATAATATGCTAAAAAAATTATCTATTATTTATTTCAGTGGGAGAGAAGAATTTCGGAAATTCCGACTCAATATAATGGATCTAATACTTCAGAAAACAAGAAACCATACCAAAGAAATGTTGCATTAAGAAAAATTTGCTCTACTATTAAAGAAATCGTATCGTACAATGAAGCAGTAAAATAAAGAAAAACAGAAACAATTTTATTTTTGGTGCTATCAATAGTAACATGTGTCTACTTTATCGAAAGGAAATTGATGCTTTGTCTTTAATATTATGTTAAATTTGGTTTTAAATGTATATACTCAGACTAATTTATTGTATTATAAAACAAACACAATTAAGTATTTTCTTCCTTCTAGTTAATTTTAGAAGTGATTGAAAATCCGCGCATTTTTTTATTTAATTGTAGAAGTCTCCATATACAATAATAAACTTAATCTAAACGGTATTTTGATACCAACTATTTATTATGTATCTATGTATCTCTTAATATTGGTCAGTAAATAGCCTTAAAGAATTGGTTTTACTTTTGGCTAACAACCTGTACATAAGTATTTTGTATAAAATTGTTAATACTCGCATATTGTGATAACGATAAATGTCTTTCGTAAAATAATATTTAATGAATAATTTTTTTTTAGTATTTGTGTAAATGAATCTCCCAAGTCATTTATCGTATTTAATAGTTAAGTTTTTTATGCTTTGATAAGACTTGTTATTTCTTTTGTAAGCTGAATTATATTTATAAATATGTATGTATATTAGGCTAGTTTCCAAAATATTTAATGTTTTTTACTATTTATACCAAAAAAAAATGCCTATTGTAGAATGTGTATGTAACTGCAAAATTTAATAAGAATTTTTATTCTTACTTACTTTAGGTAAGTCATTATCTTTTGAAACTAGTCTACATTGTGTAGAATAATTTATAAATGTTATTTTTTTGGAAAAATTTGTCCAATTCTAAACAGTATTTATGTGATTGTATTCGAGTAATAAAATTTGTATATTGAGAAATTATTAATTTATAAAAAATGTATTTGAGACAATAATATCTGCATAATAAACTATTACTTCAGGTTGAGTTGTTTTATTATTTTAATAAATAAAATAAAATATTTATGAAATATAATGAAAATATTTGTTTCCTGTACGCTTTTTATATATAATATAACTATTAACAAAAATTTTATATTTTTGAAAGTTATTACTGCAAAAACAAAAAATAAGGAGTATTATTTATATTATTTAGTTTTTGTCTGAGTGTGGAAAAAAATAAATCAAAAAAGATAATAATAAATGTATTATTAAAACATTACAGGACACAAAAGTGTACAACTTTAAACTTATTAGATATATCAAAACAAAATTACTTACATTAAATCACAATCTTAAAAAGTTTTAAACAAACAATCAGTCTTCATTTTTATATGTCACGACAGTTTCCATTTTATGAATTTGAGTGGAGAAAGACCTCATTTTAACAGACTGAGCATTCTTAATGTTAGCTGGTTCAGCTTCAGACCATTCTGTAGGCAATTCCACCTTATTCTTGGTATAAATTTGAATATCAAAACTACATAAACAATCTAACAGCGGTAAGTAGGCAACAGATGAAGCAATTTGTTTAAGAACATCCCTAATTTCGTTTTTTATTTGTTTTAACGGTTTTTCCGATGTTTGTTCAGAGTCTCCATCGCCAACGTTTCCTTCATATTCCACTTTAAAATCCCATCTTTCCATAACTTCCAGGGTTTTTACATTTGAAATGATCAAGGCTACTTTATTTACAGTTCTATCCACTAACCAATCTGCAAAAAATATTAAAACATTATTCAAGACATGCTGTTAAAAAATGGCATAAGTACAAGTATTAAGGGCAAATAATAAGTATAGGAGACCTTTTCTTTTTATTTTTTTGTAAAACTTAGTTTTAAAGTAATTAAAAAATTATTTGGGAACATAAATCAGTCTAAAATTGTAATTTTTTCATTCTCTATTAACTACAATACAAACCTTTAAGCTGATCCAACGTAGCTTTTAAAAAATCCTTGATTTTCTCATTTGTGGACATTAATATAGTTAACCCATAGTTCTCAGCTGTCTGAAACGTTTCAGGTGGATATAAACCTCTTTGGTACAAAATAGAATTAATACCATAATCTAAAAAGTTAACCATTTCAATAAAAACAAAGATACATTAATAGCACAAAAAACTTACTTAAATAATCGCACACAATCTCCGAAGAACCTTTTAAGGTAATAGCGTTTTTAGTTTTTTGCGTTGCCGTCGTCATTTTGGTTCTGAATATTTTTTATATGCAAAATACGTTTTAAAACTTGAACAGATTACAAACATTTGAAAATTACCGTTGACAAACGTCAATTTTGAGCGGAAATGAGGCCGATAAAGTAGAACACTCGTCGCGACATCTACACTCGAGTTGTTTAAGTGTGTCAGCGGCAACATGCTTCTAGAAAATTTCCATCTGTGGGAAATCGATTTTTCTGGAATATTTTAATTTAATTGTTTACTTCGTGAATTAAACTAATGTTATTTTTCATAAATGTTTTTAAAAAATTAGAATTGAATTCAGATATATTGATATGGTATTAAAAATTGGGCAAATTTGTCCCAAAATTTTTGGTTAGGTTTTTTGGGAGGACCAATTTTCCATTTTTTTATGTATAAATAAACTTGATAGGTATATTTGTACGTATTATTAGATGAATTTAATAAAAACCTTTGTCTGGAGCTTGCTTTATTTTGATGATTAATTTATTTTCCATAGCTATAGCTATAGATACCTATAAAAAAAGATTTTAAGCTTTTTTAAAATGACAAGTCATTTAAAAAAATACCTAGGTACAAAGGATTTATTCTAAAAACAATTTGTTTATAAATTAAGTCCATTTTGCTTTAAATTAGAGAAAAAATATATGTCATTTAAAAAAAATTAATAGTTTACTAGGTACCTACAATTTTACATGATTTTTAAATATTTAGAGAAATCAACAGAGTTATATATTACAATTAAACATTTTTAAATCAAATTTAAAAGAAAATTTCATACTCATTAAAATTTTTGAAAAAAATTGTTTGATAATTTCATAGTTTTTCGATAAACCTTGTCAAAATCACGCATTTAAAATGACGTAAAATAATAATTTCAAAACATTTATATCAAGAACATACAAGTTTACATCAGAAATATCACCTTAAATCATTTTTTTATCAAAATCTCTTCATAATCCGAATTTCTAGAAAATTCTATTTCGAATTTGGCGCACAAAAAAGCGGAAATACGGATCGCGCCATCCTTGTCTAACTGGCGTTCTGCGGCTTCGAAAAGCTTCGATTCGCTTCTAGAACATTCCGGAACGCGGGAGCCTATAAAAGCGAACGACAGTTGCCGAACGACGTCAGAAAATAATCTGAAGTTGCAAAAGCAGCAGTGAAGAGCGTGCGAGTTTTTCAAGCAATTTCTTCGAATTTCTTTCCATTTTTTCATTGAAAAGCGATTTTTACATCCTTCAAGGTATGTAGAACAGTTTCTTTATTAGTTTTAAGCGTTTTTTGGTAGGGTTTTTGAGTAATGTCATTTTAAAAATGCCACGTTTTTAGACAACCGGCGAATAATTTTAACGCTTTTTTTATTGATTTTACAGTAAATGTTGGTATTTTATGAATTTAGTACGTTTGATGGGCATTTTATTATCATAATTTTAAGGTGACCATTTAAAATTTATAAATTGACACGGTTTTTTGACAACCGGCAAAAAATTAACGCTTTTGATTACAGGAAGTAGTATTTTTTGGGTATTTTAAGTTCCCTTATAAAAAGTCTTTTGAGTTTATTTAATACATTTAGATACCTACATTCCAATAAGCGAACTATGGCACGCCATTTTAACATTTATTTAATAATTTTAAATTTTATTGCTTTAAAATTTTCCCAACTAAAAATTTTAGTTTACATAAATAATAAAAATGTACTATAAGTAAATTACTAACAGTTCACTTCTGTATTACACAATATTATTTCCAATCAATTTTTGAAAAAAAAAATAATTTATTTGGGCAGAATTTGGCAAATCCTAAATGAATATTTAATAAAATTATTTATACATTTTTTCTACTCCTATTACGGATTTATGATGTCTGCTAAAGCTACGTTTACACTTTGTGAATTAAAAATTATCGACTTACATTTAAATGTAAAGATATAAAATCTTGGTTTAAAAATCAATTATCAATTTAAAATTGTTAAAAATAAAAGGTTTTGGTTTAAATTTGTAAAGGGTCATTTAAATGATAGTCGATTTTTAATCCAAAAATTACCACTTTAAAATTTAAAACTTACATTAAATGTAATGTGAAAATTTTTGTAGTATAAAATATTTGAACCAACATCAATATTTTAGAGCTTAAAGTTTTCCAGTTGTATTTTATATTTAAAATATTTCTTGATTATAAATTGTTTTGAGTTTCAATTTAAAAAAATTTAACTTTTTAAATTTCTGTTAAAACATTAACATTAAAGTGCTAAACTTTAATTTTCAAACTATTATCTAATGAATGCTAAAACGGTGTGTGGCATTTAAGTATTCAAGTTTTATTGCAATTAATTTTATTTTAGTTTACAATTTTTTAGTTGTAACTATTGGATTTCATGTCGTATTTTTATGTACTTGCGTAGGTCACAGTGACTAATTTTAGATTCTTGAAACTAAATTTCGCGTTTTATTTCAGATGCCTGAACCAGAAAACCAGGAAGTGGAGACTTTCGCCTTCCAGGCTGAAATTGCTCAGTTGATGAGTTTGATTATTAATACTTTTTACTCGAACAAAGAAATTTTCCTCAGAGAATTAATTTCCAACTCGTCAGATGCCTTAGACAAAATTCGTTACGAGTCTTTGACAAACCCATCCAGATTAGATAGTGGCAAAGACTTACAAATCAAAATTATTCCCAATAAAAATGATGGAACCCTTACCCTCATTGATACCGGTATTGGTATGACCAAAGCCGATTTGGTCAACAACTTGGGTACAATCGCCAAGTCTGGAACCAAAGCTTTCATGGAGGCTTTGCAAGCCGGCGCCGACATCAGTATGATCGGTCAATTCGGTGTGGGTTTCTACTCTGCTTACTTGATAGCCGACAAAGTCACAGTTGTATCCAAGCATAACGATGACGAACAGTACATTTGGGAATCATCTGCTGGTGGTAGTTTTACCATCCGCGTAGACCAAGGAGAACCCATGGGCCGCGGTACCAAAATCGTCTTGCACATCAAGGAAGACCAAACCGAGTTTTTGGAGGAAAACAAGATTAAGGAAATCGTCAAGAAACACTCTCAATTCATCGGTTACCCGATCAAACTCTTGGTTGAGAAGGAACGCGAGAAGGAGTTGAGCGACGACGAAGCCGAAGAAGAGAAGAAGGAGGAAGAAGGTGAAGACAAAGATAAACCTAAGATTGAGGATGTGGGGGAAGATGAAGATGCTGATAAAAAGGATGACTCCAAAAAGAAGAAGAAGACTATTAAGGAGAAGTACACTGAAGATGAGGAGTTGAACAAAACCAAACCCATCTGGACTAGAAACGCTGATGATATCACCCAGGAAGAATACGGCGAATTCTACAAATCCCTCACCAACGACTGGGAAGACCATTTAGCTGTTAAGCATTTTAGCGTTGAGGGTCAACTCGAATTCAGGGCTCTTCTTTTCGTGCCGCGTCGTATCCCCTTTGATTTGTTTGAAAACAAGAAACGCAAGAACAACATTAAATTGTATGTGCGTCGTGTTTTCATCATGGACAACTGCGAGGATTTAATCCCCGAATACCTCAACTTCATTAAGGGTGTGGTGGACTCTGAAGATTTGCCATTGAACATTTCTCGTGAAATGTTGCAGCAAAACAAAATTCTAAAAGTAATCCGCAAGAATTTGGTCAAGAAATGCATGGAGCTGTTTGAGGAAATGGCCGAAGACAAGGAAGGCTACAAGAAGTTCTACGAACAATTCTCGAAGAATTTAAAGTTGGGCATCCACGAAGATTCGCAAAACAGAGCCAAACTGGCGGATTTGTTGCGTTACCACACCTCCGCCTCCGGAGACGAGGCGTGCAGCCTTAAGGAGTACGTGAGCCGCATGAAGGAGAACCAAAAACACATCTACTACATCACCGGCGAGAGCAAAGACCAGGTTGCCAACTCGTCGTTCGTTGAGCGCGTCAAGAAGCGCGGCTTCGAGGTCGTCTACATGACGGAACCCATCGACGAGTACGTCGTCCAACAGATGAAAGACTTCGAAGGCAAATCGCTCGTCTCGGTCACCAAGGAAGGCTTGGAACTGCCGGAAGACGAGGCCGAGAAGACCAAACGCGAAGAGGACAAGACCAAGTTCCAAGGCTTGTGCACCGTCATGAAGAGCATCTTGGACAACAAGGTCGAGAAGGTGGTCGTGTCCAACCGTCTGGTCGAATCTCCGTGCTGCATCGTGACCTCCCAGTACGGCTGGACCGCCAACATGGAGCGCATCATGAAGGCTCAAGCTCTGAGGGACACCTCCACCATGGGCTACATGGCCGCCAAGAAGCACCTCGAGATCAACCCCGACCACCCGATCGTCGAGAACTTGCGTCTCAAGGTCGAGGTCGACAAGAACGACAAGGCCGTCAAGGACTTGGTCATCCTCTTGTTTGAGACTGCCTTGTTGAGCTCTGGATTCGCCTTGGACGAACCCCAGGTCCACGCTTCCAGGATCTACAGGATGATCAAACTCGGTCTCGGCATCGACGAGGAAGAGACCATGTTGACTGAAGAGATCCAATCGGGAGACGCCCCAACCGCCGACGCTGGCGACGCGGAAGACGCTTCTCGCATGGAGGAAGTAGATTAAACGCTTCAACATGGAAATGTGTTGTAAGATGTTCGTCTCTCATACCGTTCATTCCTTATTTTTGTAAATAATTTATTTACTCATTTTTCTTCTAAGAAGTATTAACGTTTTTTATAATATGATCATTATTTGGTTCACTTGCCCCACTTTGTTTCTTTGGCTGTGTTAAGTATCATTTTGTGACCAAATAACGCCACTGTACTGATTTTTTTGTTAAAATAAATATTTTAAACAAATATTCGACCATTATTATATTCCTCTTAAATTTTCAGCTATTAAAACTGAGGTGTTAGACCAACAGATGTAAAATATTTATTAATCTTTTATGGAAAACAAATGAACTTTGAACGAGCTTTTCTTAACTTAAATTTTAAATAGAATAAAAATACATATTTTTGGGGGGTGTGCGAATATCGTTCGAATCGAATAATTTGAATTTTCGAAATTCTACGAAAAATTTCGAATTATTTGAAAAGTTTTGAATAATTCGAATTTTTTTATATAATTCGCGAATTAATGAAATATCTCTGTATTTTCAAATGCTTCCATTTAAATTCCTTTAAATCGTGTATCGAAATATTCTTCTTAAACGAAAAGTATATTATTATAATATACTTTTCGTTTAAAAATCAATTACCCAGAGAAAACAATTGCTCATTTTCAATATAACATATTATGTTCATCTCTGTCGGTAACATAAAAAATCTAGATGGTAATATTGGCAAGAGATATTTTCTATTTGCTTTGGTCTTATTAATTATTAAATTTATATTAAATCTATAAGAAAAAGGTTACTCATGTAATGTTTCAATAATTTATCAAAGTTTTTTATACATTCATATTTGAATATTAAACATAAGAAACCCTGAATTCAAAATACTCGAAAATTCGCTAATAATATAATAGTTTTCGAATAATTCCGAAAAAAATCGAATTCGAAAAAAATTCGAATTATTCGAAAAGTTTCGAATTATTCGAAATTTTTCGAAATATTCGGGAACCTTCGAATTATTCGATTCGAGTTCCGAATCGAATATTAATATTCGATTCGGAACGAATAATTCGTAAGTTCGAATTATTCGCACACCCCTGATATTTTTAGTTTATTTATACATTGTTATAATATAAATAGTTATTTATGCCACAAAGCTTAGAAGTGAGTCTTTTTGTGCTGAGCTCAATTTTTCCATAAGCAAGAGCTTTTCCTAATTTAAATTTTAAATGAAATAAAAGTGGGTACATATTTTTAGTTTATCCATTGTTATAATATAAATAGTTATTTATGTCATAACGCTTAGAAGTGAGTCTTTTTGTGCTGAGCTCAATTAAGCGAGTTACAAAAAGACACGTCTTAGCTGAATGGCATAATTATGCCATGTTAACATGTTTAAAAACAATAATTATTTTCAAGGCGCTGTTGTATTTGTTTAACGATATAGACTTTAGTTAAAAAATAATAATTTATAGTTATTATAATAACTCGTAAGACATAACAAAAAATAAATTTATTTAATCAATGTATACAAAAGAATACCCAAAAATATTTAAGACATAGGAGTATATTTACTCAAAATTGTTGTTTTATCGCTCCTTAATTGAAAGACAAATTATACAAATACATGGCAACATATTATTATAACAATATAAAATTATGGATACACTATTTCAAAATGCAATTTTCGGCGTTTGTACTTTAATGACTCATTTATAAACTAAAATTCAATTTAATCAAATTTTAAATTAGCCGCGTGCACATGTTTTTTTTTCTATGATGTTTACTTGCCACCGCCCGGCAAAACGTCATAAACAACATAACCTACAAAACAATATAAATCGTAAACATTAGATTTTTGATGAAATAGTATGAAACAAAGTGCATTTAAGTTATAAATTGTATTTGCGATGTCCCTAATTACAGAGCCCAAAAAAAGTGATACCAAAAAAACATCAGATGAAGGTATTTTTTTGATTATTAAATTAACTAAAATTATACGGGTTCTTTTTAGATGATCCAGAATGCGTTTGGCGCATTTATAGCGTTCTTTCCTACTTTATAGTGTTAGTTATAATAGGATTACCAATTTGGTGGTACACCACCAGAGTTTACAGAGCTAGTTTACCCCTAGACGAAATGTTTGATATTACATTAAAAAATACCACTGATAAAGAGTATGGTATACCACTAAGTCTGGAATATGATGTTTTAATATCTATAGTAAACCCAGAACCAAGCAGTTTAAAAATAGATTTAAAAGGACAAGACATGGAAGATTACCTACAACCATTTTTAAGTAAGTTATCGCCCATAGCAGATTTCACCGTCAAATCACAATGGTTATACCATGTTGAACTTGGTGCAGTTCCAAGAAAAATGTATGACCACTTTGCCATAATGGAAGAACAACTGCCCCACATAATCAGCCCTTTAGAAAAAAAATTATGGTCCCATCTCTCACCTCGCCCCTGCCTAAACTTGGTTTTATATTTCCCGCAATGTCGCGCCCCTTTACACATCTACAACATGAAAAACGAAAGACTGATTACCAATGCCATGCTAAGCCCTAGATGGGGCGGTATTTACATACTTAACAGTGATAAACCCTCATGTGAAGCAAAAGTATTCAAACCTGATATTGAAGAAATTGTCAACACTTTTATAGCCCAACTACAAATCTTATTCAAGATTAAAGGCACCTCAAAGGATGATGTCTACGAGTTAAAACTAAGAAAAACCCAGGATATGTTGGAGTCCACCAAGCGCACTTTAAAATCTCTTGCACAATTACTTTCTGAAATTAATAGCATTGTCATAAGTGATGATGTAGCCCAAAAAATAAATGTAGCTGTAGAAAACAAAGATTTAACAGAAAAATACCTAAATGAAGACAATATAGATTTGGCTCTTAAACATGCTAAAATTGCTTTTGAGAAATCCGAGGAAGCATTTAGTGACCCCTCATTATTGGCTTTATTATATTTTCCGGATGATCAAAAGTAAGAATATAATAATTTTGTTAGTTTATTCTTAATATTTTATGTTTTAGGTATGCAGTTTACATTCCATTATTTTTACCAGTAATGATTCCAGTACTAATGTCTCTTATTACCATAAGGAAATGGTTTTTTAATAGAGGAATTGATGTTAAAGTTAAATCTGAATAAATAAAAAACTTAATCAAAAATTATTTTACTTCCATTTTACTTTTATGTCTTGAGAATGAATGATTCATCCACAATGTAGATTGTAGATTCATCCATGTGTTTCATGAGTCATTTTTTTTATTTTTATGTTTAAACACTAATTATGTTTCAACAAGATTTTTTATTTATAATAAGCTTTATTTTTAGTTTAAAATAATATTCATGCAGAACCTAAATTAAAACTAACTAGGTATTAGCAGTTTCTTTTTCAAAAGCACTACACTACTTAGTTTTTGTCATTTTGACAAGCATTTTTGAAAATCAAATAAAATAAACCATTGTCGCCAACACAAAAATCATGGCTGAAAAGTTTCAAATTATTTGTTTATGTTAAGAGTTAGGTTGGCAATAGTACTAGATTCTGTGAAGCCAGAGCTGCAACAAGTCAGTTTTAAAAAGACTTAAATCTTAAGTCTTAAGTCAATTCTAAAATCAAAATGATTTAAATCTTAAGTCAATTCTAAGATAAAGTTCAAATGATTTAAGTATTAAGTCTTTGAATTAAATCATTTTCTTTCAAGTCAAGTCATTTTCGCAAATTCTTAAATCAATATAAAGTGATTTAAGTCATCTTATGACTTAATTCCTTTAGTAAGTCGTTTTTATGACTTAACCCAGCAAACCAGGCTGTTCCATTTACATAGCCATGATATAACTAACAAAGAACATTGCCATATAAAATTGTTTACATAACATTTACATATTAGTTATTTATTTTGTTACATAATTATGATAAAACATAGTAATATAACATTTATATAAATATGTTCCCCTCTTGTTATATTTACATCCCACTTATGTATCAGCCATATAACAATGTTATATATCTACAATGGAACAATGATACATAATTGATATATGGCAATGTTTTATAGTATCCATATAACCTTATTATATGGTATTTACATAGATTTTCTTTATTTTGTTACATAATTATAATAAAACATTTTAATATAATATATTAGTAGGGATGTAAATATAACAAGAACGGATCATTTTTATATAACTATAGTTATATAAAAATGATCCGTTCTTGTTATATTTACATCCCTACTATGTCATGGCTATATAACAATGTTTTATACCTACATTGTAACAATGATATATAAATGTTATATATTAATGTTTTATAGTATTTATATAGCCTTTTTATCTTACTAACGAACTCGTTTAAACGGTTGTGTCGAGTGCTCTCTATTGTGTTTTAATTTAAGTTAAATTTGATTCCATTGTTTTATAATAAAATGGAACAACAAAATAGAAAAAAAATATATTTCCCTATCCCGGAGGCAAAAGCGGAGAAGAATTAATGCAGATCTTAAAATAATGGGCGTGGAGGTAAGAAATTGTATACAAATACCCAAGACAATGTAGAAAGTGTACCTTTGCCAGAATATATATATATACTGACGCTAAAACCGAAGTATTATCTTTCCCTAACCAGCCAATAAATAAACAGCTCAATAAAAATATTTTTACAGAAAATTTGGGAGAATATTCAGGTGGTCATAGGGAAGATTTGCAAAATTTGTGTAATAAATACTTACCTAGTCAACTTTTTATTAATGATCTGTTAAAAGTTTTGAGAAAACATTATTGCACAAAGAAGTAGAGGCTGAATTTGTAAGTATATAAAGGGCGATTTTAAACCTGTTTAATAATAATAATATAATAATGTTAATTTGTTTTTAAAACAGGGTGCTAAAAAACAAGCGACAAATTATAATTTAATGATATTTGGTAGCCAAAATAAGAGTTTAATATCTATAAATTTTTAACTTTATACTGTTTTTCAACTGGTAAAGGATACAATAATTTTGTTAAATAAGATGGATGCACATTTTATTATAATTGTTGTGACAATTAATTTTATGCATTTGACTTCAATTAATAAAATCAAACAAATTATTATTTGTACCAAATATCATTTACAAAACTACATAAAGAATAGTTGTTCTTTGTTTTGAAAACAAATTAATAAACAAAAATAATATTAAATAGTATTTTTTTAAGTTTCAGTATATAAAAATCAATGATAAAAATGAAGGCGTCTTCGAAAAAGATTCTACAGTAAGAGTTTAAAAAAAATCTCTAATAATCTGGCAAAAGATTGCTCTTGGCTAGGCCTAAGAAACAACAAAAAAATACAAAATATTGAAGGGTAAAAATGTAAGTTTTACGGCTTTTTTTATTAAATATTTTTTTAAGCCGCTGTTTGCACTTCAACAGACAAAAATTTTGAAAACATAGTTACCGAATGGTTCCGGCAGCCCAAACAAAGATTTGTGAGGGAAACAAAAAACCCATGAAAAGAAGGTATATTAAAATTAAATTCATGAGATTGCTTTCTCTTTTTTTACCATATATTTTTTAGCTTTGAAGTATTAATGTATTTGGGTTTTTTTTGTTAAAGTTTGGAAAAGTTTGGAAAAATTGAAAATCTTTATGTTTGTAAAATTAAAATTAAAGTGATTTTTTCATATTTTACAATGTTTGTTTTTAGATTTATTTGGCCCCTTTAGAAAGAAGAAATGATTTGTTTTTTTTTAATTAAAATATTTTTTAATAAACATTTTTAACCATGGTTTGCAATTTGTGTTTTTTTTTAATCTCTTTCAGAATCATTTATTTCTGCAATGTTTACTTATTATTTATGTAATATTTATTTATAATTTATTTAATATATTATCTAACTGGCATTAACAATTTCTTAGTTCTAATTTGGTATTATGGCAATTTTAAAATTTTGTTGATTTTTTTTCAAAAAATTTGCCATAATAACAAGTTAGGGCTAAGCAATTTTTAATACCAGTAAGATAATATATTACATGAAATTATATTTATAAATATTTCATAAATAATAGGTAAATATTGCATAAATTATATATAAATAAGTAAATGCAACATTTATGTAAATAGAATATAATTGTTTTATCACGTTTACATAACTATGATATGGCGCTGTAACATTACAGTTACATATCTATGATAAAACACTGTTACATCACAGATACATACCCAGGAAGGGGTCTTGAGGCGGACATAGGAGCATCGCCATTACATATAGGTGACATAGCTGTTGCATAGTAAGGAACAATTTTTATGTAAATGTTATATCACTGTTACATAACTGATATGGCGCTGTAACATTACAGTTACATAACTATGACAAAACACTGTTACATCACAGTTACATACCCAGGAAGGCGTCTTGAGGCGGACATAGGAGCATTGCTATTACATATAGGTGACATAGCTGTTGCATAGTAAGGAACAATTTTTATGTAAATGTTATATCACTGTGACATGATTTGGTTTGCTGGGAAGTCTATATTTTTTATTTAAATCGTGATCTAAGAGTTAAGTCAATAAAATGACTTGAATCAAAAATTGTGATTTAAATCAAAATAATTACAATACAACGATTTTTTAAATGTTAATAATAATTGTATGGTATTAATGATACTGATATTATTAATCTATTGTAGATACAGATGATAATAAACCACCATGTTAAGAATTTAAAACGATTTATTTTCAGAACACTTACAAACAAAATAAAAACTTAAAACACATTTTTTGAGTATATATTAGACAATAAAAATAAAAACTTAAACCACCTTTTTTAGTAGAGTAGACATACAGGGAGGCTACTTTTTTATATACATAAATGGGTAACTTCTAAACGGTAATAGATTCAAACTCTGTTAAAATAGATAAAAGTTGAAGCATTTTTCCTAAAATCGCTGTATTTCAAATACTGATAACTTGTTGCTTTGTTAACTTTTGTTAGCTGGTTCAACATCCAACTAGAAAAAAAAAATTCCTCCCTTAAGGAAGTAATGATGGGAAGTTCCAAACTCTCGATTCACGACCGCTCAGATTGTTTTCACTTTGCACTAATAATCACAAATTAGACATAACTACGCACGAACATGACGAATGTTGGCAAACAAAATAACAAAATTATAAATCCCCACTTTTTTTAATTCATTTTAGACAGGACATTTTTTAATGTAGCCGTCAAACGGTTCCAAAAAGCTAACTTTACGCGGCGGTTTTTTTATCCTCTAGCGGTAAAAATTGTAGGTAGGAAATTAAAGGAGTTTTTGATCTGCTGCCGCGTGAACCCCTGGCAGTTCAAAAGAAAATGCCGCTGTTAAAAATTTATAAAAAATATATGAAAAATCTGACTTAAATATTTTCTAAAAAGACTTAAATCTTTTTCAAAAAGACTTAAATCTTTTTTTGACTTAAATCGTTTTTATCTGACTTAAATCGTATGTACTGATTTATAAATGACTTAAGTTTTTTCTATTTTGAAAAAAATATTTAAGTCACAAATCATTTTGAAAATTACTTAAATTTTAAGTCTTAAGTCAGTTTTAGAGAAATGACTTATTACCAAATGACTTAAGTCATTAAAACGATTTAAATCAAAAAAACGATTTAAGTTTTCTGAGAGCTTGCAGCTCTGTGTGAAGCAGCATCAAGATTGCACATTTAACCATTGCAGTGTTGTCAGCTTGTGCTTTGTGACGTCACACACTGTAAATCGGTACTATTTTTCGAGAGATAGGATTTCTACAATAAGCTCGGTAGCTCGATGGAAGGGCGCCTGCTTTGCATGCGAGAGATACGGGGTTCGATACTTGGCGCCTCTACAACTTTTTTTAATTTTTTTTTAAAGAATTTATATACCGAAATAATACAATTTGGCCTTAAAAGCATTTATATTCAATTTTACATTAATATTTTAATTTATTTACCTTTCCTCATAATCATTTTGCTACAGTTATAATATAAAATGTAATTAAATGAATATTCCTTGGTTGAAAAATTTTTACTCAATGGGGCGGGTGGGGGCCAATGGGGCGGGGTCGGTTGGGTTGGGTTGTTGGGTTTGGGTTGGTTTCGAAGCCGGTGGACCATAGAAAAACCGTCTTATCATAAAAAGTATCCTTAAATGCGATCTTAGTTGCATATATTCAAGTTCTGTTCCAACTGGCAACACTGTAAATGTTGAATGTGCAATCCAGAGATATGGATATCTCTGGTTATTTGGCAACCTTTATAATGTGTTATTTGGTTGTCACTCCTGAAATGAACAGTCGTGTCAAAATTCACTAAAAAATGGAAAATAATATATTTTCTTAACAAATAAACAAGAATTAGTTATTATTTTTAAGTTCACACAACATATTTATAAAAATAAATAATGCCTAGGGTGAGTAACATGATTGCAATCAAAATAAAATGTTTAACCTTACCAAATACATTTTTTTAGATAACATTTTTGTTATTAATCCTATCATGGATTAAATTAAGCCGTCAATTCTACGTGCCAGGCATGGCCCCTACAGACTTCAAATTCAAATCACCCATCGAAGTTAAGGCTGTGAAAATGACAAGTATACATACCCAGCTACCATACGAGTATTATTCCTTACCCTTTTGCTTGCCAAAAGGGGGTTCTACAGCAATACAGTATAAAAGCGAGAATTTGGGAGAAGTTTTAAGAGGAGACAGAATTGTAAACACTCCCTATGAGGTTCATATGGGGGTTAATACGGCTTGTACTTTGCTCTGCAACTCGCCTGATGATCCCATTAATTGGGGGGTTTCTGAGTCGCAGAAGGTGGCTGACAGGATTCAGCATGAGTATTATGTCCACTTGTGAGTTGTTAATATAAGTATATAGGGAATATTTTTATTTCATACTATCTAGAAAAAAAAATTGTTTATGGGTTATGAGCTTCAAGAAAGCTCCCTACAAAGCATTTTACGAACTTTTTTTCATATTTTACTCTGTAGAATCTAACCTCAAAATTTTTGGATGGAAACTTAACAGGAAACATTAATTTAATTGAAACAAATTTTTAAAAATTGTGTTTTTATTTTAGGTTGATTGATAATTTACCTGCTGCAACCACTATAGAAAACCCTGAAAGGAGTGAAGTGCAATATAACCATGGTTACTCTTTGGGAATGTCCGTGGGGGATAAAAATTATATTAACAACCACTTAAAGTTAACCTTACTTTATCACAATCCTTCACCGTAAGTTCTTCTAATTTACAAAAAAAAAATTAATAACATTTTTTAGTGAAATTTATCGCGTGGTAGGTTTTCGCGTGGAAGCAAAATCTGTGAGCATAGACGACATAAAATTCAATGGTAAAACTTGTACAGTACCAAGAAAACCCAAGCCGCAAGTTGTGGGACCAAGTGGTACTAAGTTACTTTTCACATATGAAGTTGTCTGGAATAAATCTGACATAAGTTGGGCATCGAGATGGGACACATATTTGGCTATGAGTGATGTACAAATTCACTGGTATTCCATTATTAACTCTATCGTTGTTATATTTTTCTTATCAGGTAAAAATTACTTGTTACATTACAAATAAAAACATTTTATTTGTGCGTTCTTTTTCAGGCATTTTGACTATGATTATGGTAAGAACTCTTAGAAGAGATATCGCTAAATATAATGCGGACGAAAATTTCGACGATACAATCGAAGAAACTGGTTGGAAATTGGTGCATGGGGATGTTTTTAGACCCCCCAGACATTCCATGTTGTTTGCAGCACTGGTGGGATCCGGCATACAGATATTTCTTATGGCATTAATAACTTTATGTGAGTATTGAGTTGGTTTCCCTAATTTTCAGGATATAAAACCGCAAATGTTTGCCCTGATAATGTTGTTTTAATTGAAATGTGTATTTTATCTTTAGTTATCTATTCCAATTAGTTTACAAAATTAATATTTATCTTTTGTTTTTGTTAATGTTTAATAACATACAATATTTATTTTATATTTTGATTAGAACGCATTTTAGTTTAAAAGACTTTTCAACACTGTAAACTCATTTAATAAAAATTTAAAATTTGTTATTATGACAACAATTTAACACGTTCACTACCGGCGACCACTATAGTGGCCAATCGGTTGGCTCACCATGAACCGCGGCCACTATACTGGCCTCAAATTTAATCTTACTTAGGTGCAATATAAATTTAGCTGGGTCACAAGTGGTGACTTGTATGTTGTCTTCGGTCTATAACGCGAGCACGGCCAGTTAAGTGGCCTCTGGTTCACTTTTGTGGCTTTATTTACAGTGACTCAGGTTTATTTCCTACGCCAGTTTATGGGTTCAAAAGATGTCGAAGTCGGTTTATTACAAGCGACCAGCTGTAACACGGCGGTAGTGAACGTGTTAAATAAGAGGGTTTGTTATGATTGTGTCAAAAAAATAAAACTTAAAAATTGAAATTTTGACTTTTGGGCCATTTCAGGCGCGCGAAACGCACGAATTACAAAACTGTTTTAAAAAAAATTGTAGGTAACACTAGTTTACAGCCATTTTGCCCACCATGTCTCACTATGATTTTCTTGTGTAGTTTGGCTCACTAAACGCGAAAATCACACTTAATTTTTTTTTCATGGAAGCGTTTTCTAGATATGAATTTTCAATTGTTTTTTCTTAAATTTTCTGAGGTGTTTTGGCGTTTAAGAGTATACTTCGAGTTCTAATTGATCGATCTGACCAAACAAGCACTTAAATCAAAGGTAATTGAGCCCTCTACAACTTTCTCTTGTATAGTTTTGGTATCGGCGCATTAGTTAGATACTGGCGATTTTATTAAGTTGTTAAAGTCATTTTTTTTTACAAAAATCAGGTCGAAAATTTACATATCTTTCTGGGAAAGATAGAGATCGAAAAGATAATTCCAGTTTGATTTATTCTACCTATAGATTATACTAAAAAAATAAGCTGCTGTTTATAAAAATCCATGGGTAAATGGCGAAGTTATGATTTTTTCAGTGGAAGACCAAAATTCAGTTTTTCAAGAATTTCTACGTTTATTCTTCATTTTATTGAATTATATAAAATTTTATATTGAACATTGATTTTTATTTTAAACATTAAATTTTGAAATTAAATTATATATTGAATATTAAACAATAAATATTGAACATTGAAGAAATTAAAGGTTTTATTTTGTTCTGATAAGCATAGGTTTAAAAAATTCTGCCTCCTTTGTTTTTTGTTGCTTTCGTATTTCGTTTCTCGTATCAGGGACCAAATGTAATCACCCATCATGGCTACATCCCAGAAGCCGTGATACCGCCGCTCCATAGCCTTCATTTGCTGATGAAAACGTTCTCCGTGCTCATGACTTACGTCGCGACGCGTCGCCCAGATTGTGCGGGTTATTTACGCACTCGAACTCTACTTCTTTTACTCATTTTACACTTTTTATTAACTAAATAAAACCTCACTATTAAAAACACCTCGTTGAAATATCAAAAAATGTCACTATGCCAACACGAGAAACAAAAGAATTCACGTGTGCGGAGTCAATTTTGAATAATGTTTTCGGTGAAAAAAGTACGTAAAAAACTCAAAAAATTCCATTCATGAACTTTATTTAGGTTTTCATTAAAGAGTAAACATATTACAAAATAAAAGAAAAATCAAGCTGAGTTTTGGTCTTCCATTAAAAAATTCATAACTTCGCCATTTTTTCATGTATTTTTATCAACATTAGCTTATTTTTTTGTAAATATATCAGCTTCACGAAAAAAAATTCTATCTGTTTGATTGAAACCTTTCCCAGGACGATATATAAATTTTCGACCTCAATTTTTGCCATAAAAACGAATTTTTTAAGTTATTAAAATCGCTAGCGTCAAAATACTTATCTGATATCAAAAGTATGTAAAATAAAGTTTTAGAAGGCTCAAATACCTTCAAATTAAGGGCTTGTTTGGCCAAATCGATCAATTAGATTTGGAGCTATACTCAAAAACGTCAAAACACCTCCGAAAATTGAAAATTCATATTTCAAAAACGCTTCCATAAAAAAAATTGAGTGTGATTTTAGTGTTAAGTGGGTCAAAATACATGGGAAAATTATAATGGGATATGGTGGGCAGAATTTTTTTTCGATTTTGTAAACTGGTGTAATTAAAAAAAAAGATTTCTCTTGTCCCGTCCCCACCTGTCAATTATTAAAACTAAACTTTTATAATTATAATTTCTTTTTAAATTTAATGTATAGCCCAATAAAAGAAGAATATTTTTGACAATTTTGATGCCAAAATATTATATAATAAATCACCTACAATTCTTTTTATAAAAACAGTTTTGTGATATCACAAAAAGGTTAAGAATAATAATTATTAATAATAATTAATACATAAAGGCATGCGGACGGGACAAATATTTTTTAGGTGAATAAACTTAAAACATTGAATTTTTATTTGAAAAGCTACAAGGTTGTTTAAATAATAAAAAAGTTGCGTTATTACAAGCCTATTAAAATAAATTTAGTAGGCAAAAAAAATGCTAATTGGATGAAAATGTAGATAAATGTGTTTATAATAATTATTAATAATAATTAATACATAAAGGCATGCGGACGGGACAAATATTTTTTAGGTGAATAAACTTAAAACATTGAAATAAAAAAAGAAAATTTAATTTTAAAACAAGTTTAATACTTCTATGGGTATTTATTTTTATTTGAAAAGCTACAAGGTTGTTTAAATAATAAAAAAGTTGCGTTATTACAAGCCTATTAAAATAAATTTAGTAGGCAAAAAAAATGCTAATTGGATGAAAATGTAGATAAATGTGTTTATAATAATTATTAATAATAATTAATACATAAAGGCATGCGGACAGGACAAATATTTTTTAGGTGAATAAACTTAAAACATTGAAATAAAAAAAGAAAATTTAATTTTAAAACAAGTTTAATACTTCTATGGGTATTTATTTTTATTTGAAAAGCTACAAGGTTGTTTAAATAATAAAAAAGTTGCGTTATTACAAGCCTATTAAAATAAATTTAGTAGGCAAAAAAAATGCTAATTGGATGAAAATGTAGATAAATGTGTTTATTAGTTATTATTTTTTTATTTGAACTCAGTGTTTTTTATTAAGTTGGTAGCTTATGCCAGTTTGATTTAGTATTTTTAGTATTTAAAAAATGGTACTTTTGCTGAAGACCTTAATTAAATACTCTCACAATGTCAAATTGACAGTAATATTTATTATTGATTATTTTTTTTGACAGTTCTCTGTATTGTTGGGACATTGTTGAGGCATTGTTGTTGAGGGAACCTACAGCGAATTACAGCGATAATTTTTTGAAAATTTTCTCTGGTAGTTGCTATATATAAAAAACAAATTAAATCTTAATTAAATGTTGTTTTATTCATTATGAAATTCTTATTTGTTAACTGTACATGGTGCAATTCTATTGGCCGACATTTGGGACGGAAAAATAATCCCCCGAATACCACACGAGCTTCAAAATTATCTGGCATTTCCCTCAAGGTTCCCTGCAAACAAATAAAGTCGTCAAGTTTTTCAGGAAAAAATTTTTTAACCTGAAAAACTTGACTCCTTCATTTGTTTGCAACGAACCTATCGGGAAAAATACCCGATAATTTTGAAGCTCTTGTGGTATTATAAGTGATAATTTATTTGTTAATTATTATATAATTAACAAAAAATAAAAATTATTTGGTGTTGGGTTCAACCTTTTTGTGAAAAATCTAGTAGTTAATTTTTCTGTCTTTGAAAATAGCATCTATTTGGTTTGAAAAAGATAATCAATAACAGGGCTCACGCACCTCCTAAAACTAATAAAATTCCTAAAATTTGGCTTGAATTTTGAAATCACCTAAAGATCTCCTAAAATTGCCACCAATCTCCTAAAACTCCTAAAAATTAAATATAAATAGGCCAACCAGACTGTATTTAATTAATGTAGTTGTGCCTAAAAATTTCTTTTTTAAAAAGTATTTTAAAAGTATATATTTTTAGGTTCTTTAGAACCTAACTATAGTTTATTATTTTTTTTTAAAAGCATGTATTACAACCAAATTTTTCTTAAAAAATATACCTAAAAAACAAAATTCATGTAATAGCTGCTAGACGTCTACAAAATTGTCATTTTTAGCCCTATTTTGTTTGTTCTCGACAAAAATTTACCGTGTCATATTCGAGGGCGTCATATCAGAAGGGCGTAAGCCTTTAAGGCTTAAACTGTACAATTTCTACCCCTGTAACTATGTTAAATGTTCTTAAATTTATGTCTGTTAAACAAAAAAATGTTTTTAAAACATTAGAATTTATACACAAAATAAAAAATTGCCAAATTATCTTTTAGAAAATGTAATATATGCTTATGAAGTTCATAATCATGATACTAGAAACAGAAATGATTTTTATATGAAAACCTGTAACACTAGTAGAACTTTCAACAGTGTGTTTTTTAAAGGTTTTAGTCTGTATAATAATTTATCTGATGATATTAAAAACTGTGATAACTTACCAATCTTTAAACGTTTATGTATACACTATGTTAAAAGCTAGTTTTGTAAATATATTTTTAAATGTTGCACGATTAATGGTAAAAAAACTTAGAGCATTGTTTTAACTTGGTTAAACTTGATTTTCAAGTTTTCGCCATGCTGGGCATGCTGTCGCCCGCCTCCCGAGGCGCCCTCACCACCGCCGCCATCACCTTCTACATGGTGCACGGCATCGTAGCCGGCTACAACTCGGCCCGCCTCTACAAAACGATGAAGGGCCGCGAGTGGAAGCGCGCCGCCCTCTGGACCGCCGTGCTCTACCCCGCCGTCATCGCGTGCACCTGCTTCTTCTTGAACTTCTTCATCTGGGGCAAGCATAGCAGCGGCGCCGTCCCCTTCTCCACCATGATCTCCTTGCTGCTGATGTGGGTGTTCATCTCGCTGCCGCTGGTCTACCTGGGGTACTATTTCGGGTACAGGAAGCAGCCCTATCAGCATCCGGTCAGGACCAATCAGATACCGAGACAGGTGCCGGAGCAACATTGGTATATGAACCCGTTTTTGTGGTAAGTTGACATGATTTTAACATCTTAACACTGGTCAACAAAATTAATTTTTTTGTTTGCCACAAGGTTGCCAATAACTCTTCCAGGTTAATTGGGGTGCGCTAATTAATTAAAATTAAAATTCGTATATATATTTTGCTAATCAAATAATTTAATCGAGGAACATTGGGTATGTAGCTATGGCGACCATTTCAAGCAAAAAAATTGTAGGTAATTTATATATATATATATATATATATATATATTATTTTTGCATCAAAATTGTCAAATATATTTTTTTTTATTAGGCTATACATTAAATAAAAAAAACGGAAGAAATATTTTATAAAAGTAGAGGTAATTTTAATAATTGATCTTTTTTTTTTCCACCCCTTTTAATTATTAAATTTATCTTTATATACTTTTTTAAAATATTTCTTGCGTTTTTTTAATTTAATATGTAGCTTAATAAAAGAAAAATATTTTTGACAATTTTGATGCCAAAATATTATACAGGGTGTCCGGGAAAAGGAGGTCAATCCGTTAACCATAATATATTATATTCCTTGAGTTAACACGTTGATGGACACAGACAAATTTTTGGCGGGACCTGCTGCGTCACTTACACAGGCTTGTCATAAATCAGCTAGAAAATTGCGACTGCTATAGCCGTCGTGTCATATTGGGCCCGACGCGTCGGCATTTACAGTCCTGTCCATGAACGTGTTAAAACAATAAGACTTTCATAATACCATTTTTCAATTTGGAGCTTCATGTTCGATATACAGGGCGACAAAGTTTGAAATTTAAAACTGATTTTTTTTAATAATTCTAGTAATTGATAAGATATTAAGTTCAAATTCGGTACACTACTTCAACATAAATAGATACATTTTTTGAGACAATTCGTATGAGTTCACGGCATCGTTGGAACAGGAGGGTATAAACAATTAAATAATAATATTATTTATTTATTTATTTATTAAATTTCATGACTCAACTTTTTGAACATGTGCTCTCTAAAAATGAATTAGTAAAAAATGAATAATTACTACAGTTATTAGTGAGTGCTTTTTCACTTCCATGGTTAACCATGGAATACCATGGTATCCCAACATTTAACAACCAATTCTGTAAAATGGTCGCCTGAATTCTAAAATACCGTCAAAAATTATAAAAGTAAAGCATTTTTTGAGATATAGTCAATTCCAAATTATATGGAAAATAGACTATATCTCAAAAACTGTTCTACTTTTCCAAGTTTTGACGACATTTTTTGATTTAGGGGACAATTTTGCATGGAAATTGACTGCTAAATGTTCGGGATATAAATTGCTTTTGACGAGAATTATTAGTGGCTGCTTTTTCGCTATGACAATTGAGGCGTTTCTCGGAAAAACATCATTAGTCCAATATCGTCAAAATTTAGATATTAGCACCAACTGTTTCCTAGCCTCCATATATACGTATACAAATAAGTGTTTCTCGTAAAAATGTCATAGGTTCCATAATAATTAAATATGAAATTTAGCTTGTTCTTCTAAAAACATCACAAGTCCACTCCGTTTCGTCTAAGTATGTCACATGTGCATAACATGCCAATTAAGAAAACAAAATTGACAACTCTAGAAAAGCTTCTACCTCTTTTACATGACCACAGCAATAGAAAATTTTATAATAACTTGATAAAATACCAGAAGACCATAGCACCTGACAGTCCTGATAACACGGTCGACAACGATGATAACAGCAGTGGATGCGAAGACTGAGTGTGGCATTATTTTGTTACTCAGAGTTAATATTTAGTTTGTAGTATTTGTAGAAAGGACAATTGTTCATTTTTTTCTTCTAAAAGCCTCACATGTTCATGTATTTTTTGTGTTTTTTTCATATTCGTTTGAAAAAAAACATGAGGAATTCTGGACAAAGTATCTTACATTTTTTTACATGTAGTAAATAGGTCAATAAAGTACTTTGGTCAAAAATGGGAATGTCGAAGAGTTTTTTTCATTTTCCCAAATATGTTTATTTTGGACTAATGATGTTTTTCCGAGAAACGCGTCAATTAGTCATTTTTGACTAATTCATTTTTAGAGAGTGGGTAATATGTTTTTTGCTTACGCATTTCAAAGCCAATCGGGCCCCCCCAAGCCGGGGGCCCTGTATCATTGATACGGCTGATACCGCGGTAGCTACGCCCCTGTCTCTATGGCTATAATCGTTGATAATAATTACACTAATCAAGATATTCTAAACATGATTTATACAGTTTTAGAAAGAACAATGGGAACTTTTAATGTGTAATATCAGTATTGGGCGTTAGATTGTTTTTATTTCGTATTAAACAACGTAAAAAGAATTATCAATTTAAAGTTCAAAAATATATTGAAAAAGGATTCTTTGCTGTTACCAATTGGACGGCGCGCCGTCACATTGTTTTAGAAGGGTTTCAAAGGATTAAAAAAAATAATCAAATTTCAGTATTTCTAGAATTTTACGTAGAATTTTAAAATGCAATAATATTTATATGCAGTAGCGTAACTAGGGGGGGCGGGGGGCGGTCCGCCCCGGGCGGCACTTCTTGGGGCGGCAAAAATCGTGAGAGAAAATGCGAAAAAAACTGGAAGACAGAATATAAAAATAAAAAAAATATTTGATAATTAAATATTCTCTTTCGAAATAATATAATTCAAATTCCAATAGATTTGAGATTTATACAATTACTCCCAAAATATTCCAAATCAAATAAAGCTAGCAAAAAATAGAAACAAGACCGGTATTGTACCTTTGATGAGTAATCAGTCTACCGCCGACATAAGTTACCAATAATTTTGCGTACGGTCCTCAAAACTGACTCCTAACCTAACCTCTCTTCCCCCCCCCAAAAAAAACATGAGGGCGACAGCCACTGCTGCCCCGGGCGGCACTTTTTCTAGTTACGCCGCTGTTTATATGGTTCCATTTGAGAAACTAAAGTTGATGATAACGCATTTTACATAATTTTAAAAAATAGTTTAGATTGACTATATAATTGCAATTGCTATACAAAAGTCAAATTGATATCTTTCTCTGTTCTTCATAAAATTCTAATGAATAAGTTAGATAAATCACCCTGTGTACATATACATGTAAATGTTTTTTAATTAATTCTTTGCTTTGCATTTAATTTATCATGAATCATCATGATATAACTTTCTCATAATAATTAAGTATAAATCATGATTTTCTCATTATAATGTAAATAAAAAAACATAAAATAAAATAAAATCGTCAAAAAGAAATGAAATACTTACTTAACATGTTTTATTTTTCAGTGCATTAATGGCTGGTATTTTGCCCTTTGGAGCTGTGTTTATCGAACTTTTCTTCATTTTCACAGCCATCTGGGAAAACCAATTCTACTACCTTTTCGGATTTTTATTTCTTGTATTCATAATCCTGGTAATATCGTGTTCTCAGATCTCAATCGTTATGGTGTATTTTCAACTTTGTGGAGAGGTAAATAAAAGAAACAAAATACCAAAAGAAAAAATCTAAATTTTTTTTTAAGGATTACCATTGGTGGTGGAGGAGTTTCGTCGTCTCCGGCGGATCCGCGCTCTACATTCTGGCGTACTCTTTCTACTATTTCATCACCAAACTGGAGATAACCGAATTCATACCGACTTTGCTGTACATGGGCTACACCGGTTTGATGGTGTTCACGTTTTGGCTCCTCACCGGAACCATCGGGTTTTTCGCCGCGTACGCGTTTGTGCGTAAGATATACGCAGCCGTTAAAATCGATTGAAATCCTAGTCGAAAAATATCAACGAATTTTGTTTTGTAATGTAAGATGTCTAAACCATACTTTTAGGTGGTTGCGACGTACAAAAACTGCAGGTCTCAAAACTCATGGGTTCTTGTACTTTTTTAATTGGTGACACATTTGGTTGCTTATTAAAGACACTATTTTAATAAGTTACTGCCCTATTTTTAATTGTGGGTATTTATTTAATCTTTCTGTGAATAATTAATATTAATGATATAGGATTAGGTTTAATTTATTTTATTACTCAGATTTATAATAGTTTTCTTTAAAGAGGCGTTTTGCAATTATCACCATTCTCTTTGTTTAGCTTTAGTAAATTCGATCTTTTTACATTTAATTTTTATATTTGTTACGTAAGTAAATGTATATAATATAGCTAAATATAAATAATAAATTTTGTGAAATGATTATTGTCTTTTATTTATACTTATAATATGAAAATAAAAATTATTATTATACTTTAAGCCTCATTCAAAATAACAATTTAGTAGTTTCATATTAATTAACACAAAACGTAAAATTAAGGAAATTTGCTAAAAGATCGCCCATTCTTCTTAACCTAACATAAACAATATTAATTATATTAGAATAATATTTTTTACAACCATTATAATAATATTTATCATAAACTTACCTTTACTGACAAATCTTTAAACTTTTAACATTTGACATAAAATGTCCGAGCGGATGCGCAAAGGCGCTTTCCAATTACAATGAGTGGCTAAAGCATGGAGCCTACACAAGGAGTCCGAACTGCATGTAAACAAGAATCTTCCTAAGGAAAGTAGGCGCTGGTGTCCCGTTTATTCTGAAACAATTGACTAATTTGTACCGAAACGCTACCAAAAGAGCAGACGTCAGGACGCATCAACAATCAGCGCCGCTGGTGGTGAAAAAAAGATTTAATTTGTGCAATTTAGAGGGCAGGTTTTGTCATTTTTCCCTATTAAGTTCGGGCTCCTTGTGTAGGCTCCATGGGCTAAAGTTTGGAGTTAGCAAACTTTTTCCACTTATTGAAAAGTACTACCACTATTTTTGTGGTTGTGAACACTAATTTATTCCACTAATTACGAGGTTCTGAATGAGGCTTACGAAGATTATATTCTTAATTATATAAGTATTGCTAGTGGCGCAACCATGGGCCATCATCATCGTATGTTACAAACTAGTTTTTTTAGAATAGGGCTAGAAAATGTTAAAAATATCGAGAAAAAAAACGGTGGAACCATTTGTTGTGTGGGGTGTTTTTCGAGTTAGAACCCGGGTTAAGTTTTTACCAGTTTCCCAATAAACAGAGGAAAACCGAATAAAGAAATAAATTGGGTATAGTCCCTGTAAATATCAATTGTACCTATTAGATACGTTAAATTCACGTTGCAACGAGATGTATTAATTATTTACGTGTAAATTGTAAACATTTCAATTCAGTAAAATTCATAAAACAAATATGTTGTCTAAATTCAAAAAGCGTTATGCATTATTAAACGCTTTGATTGAAAAAGTCTCCAATCAACGGTAAAAGACCAAAAACGGAAATTATATTATGCACAATCCACACAACAAGGTCTGTTCTATCCCGTTTCGCGCATACTAAAAGTCAATGCAACACTGCACAGACTCGAATGGCGGCCATTTTTATATTGTTTACAATTCTTGTGCTTTGGGTTTGTGCTGTTTATACAGAATTAAAATCGTTTAAAGTTGTGTTTCTTACAGAAGCCTTAAAAGTGCTAATTAAGAACAACCATTTTACTTCTCTTTTCCATCAGGTTAATTTAACGTAACCCACAAATTAACCTTAAAATTTACATAAACGAGAAATAACGTGCGCGGTTAAGCTGTGCAATTGAAACTTTGCAAACAAAATTTGTGAGACTTTTCTGCCTTCCTCTCTTTTGCGAAAAAACTAAATATTAATTTATAAATGATGTGCAGTTCGTATGCTTTAAATGTATTGTTCACAAACCCATAGTTTAAACTATTCTAAACGGATGCATGGAAATTAGAACATTTTTTGTCGGACGATTTTATTGAAAAACGGACAAACGGATAACGGATACATGAAAATTAAGCCTAATTCGTGCTTGGATACGAATATACTATTTTACTATAGATAAATACCTTTTTTAAAAATGGACAATTAAAAATTAATGAATTTAATTTTTTAACATTTCACACACTTCAAAAACATCACATTGACATATGTAATAAATATGCAATTAACTCTTAAATATTTTCATTTTAAAAATTCTAAAATATTTTTTTAATTTTTTGACATCACAACCTGCTTACCTCCCCCCTCCCCCGGCTGTCACAAACTGTCATTTATGGACGACTAATGTTAAAGTTGGACTTTTTGATTTGAAACCAAGAAGACTAAATAAAGGAGGAGTAAATATCAAAATCTTCAAAATGGGTTGTCCCCTAAGGGATGGAATTTCAAAAAATCATTGAACTTCCCTTACGCTCTTCCTACTATTTGCATCAAAGGCATTAAAAATATCTTCTTTATTTTCCGCTGTTCTAATACCAACTTTAGAGGGGACGATCGGGAAAGGGCTGGGAAAAAACTCGTGCTGCCTCCCTAGCATTGCGCCCATAATCCACATAAATAATTATTTAGGTCCACAAAAAAAAGTGGTCTGTGCTGGGTGTTCGACAAAGATTTTCCGACGTATTTTTTACCGCTGAACACGAATCTGAAGTCAAAATTGGAGATCAAACTGCATTAAACGGAGAAAAATTAAAATAACCGATATTAGATAATGGATTTTATCGGTTTTTTAATTTTTCTCCGTTTTTTGCAGTACAGACCACTTTTTTTTGTGGACCTGTGTAATCATCATTTCGGCATAATCAGAGGAGGAAAACATAACTTAAAATAATAAACAATGACAGAAACAAAAATTGACAGCAGTATAATAATGAAGTGGAATCCAGTCGACGAAATATTTTATATCAACAATGCATCCTGGCAATTTAAAGCAGCATTTTTGGTTCCAAAAACCATTGCCAAAGTGGTGATAACTTTAAATTAGTTAAGTATACTAAACAGCTACTTTAATTTTTACTTAAAAGTAATTCTAACTTTTAAATAGCAATATTTTGTAACAGAAACTTAATTTTTCCTTAAATTGTTACTATAAAGTAATAAACATTTAAGTAAAACTTGGTTGCCCCCAAGAAGACTTTGCAACTTTAAAAAAGATGTTATAAGTAAAAATAACTTTCAAGTAAATTTAATTTGTAGCAGTTACTTTCGGTTGCTACCTAAAGATTACATTATAATTATTTTTACTTTGTAGTCCCTTTGCAAGTTAAAATCTCGAAACTGGAACATGAGTTAAAAACAACAAAGTTAATAACTTAAAAGTTATTATTTTAGTATTTGGAACGTTTATGGTACTAACCAAAACAACCGTAAAGTGGAAAAAAACTTTAAAGTAGCGAAAACTACTTCAAAGGAAAATGCTTCTTATCGGCCATTTTTTAGTGTACAGTACCACGTGGTAATGTAAATAATAAATTATTTTAATTGTTTGTAAATGGTTGTTTACTTTTTAATAAATAGAAATATTGTTGGTAATAGACGGTATTAATAATTAAATAAAAAAAATAATAATAAATATTAAGATTTTTTTATTTATAAACATTACTAAATAAATAATTTGTTTATACTTAAATATTGATGAAGCGCATTTATTTTACAAAAACTAAATTCATAAGTTCAACAGTAAAATTTAAAGGGTTTATAAATCTACCTGTCTAATTAAATATTATATTGTTATTCTGGAAGTTATAAACTACCAGTACATATTTAATAAACGACGACATTGAAAAGCCAAGTCCGTAGTGGTTCCATTTAAAAAAGGAGGGATAGTATAATCTAATATAAGTTTGACAAAGACAGTTAATATAGAAGTAAAAACAAATAATAAAAGTAATTATAACGCTCTAGCAACGATATTGGAACGTTCTAGTAACGTAGCAGCTACGTCCCAAATAGTAGCAGGGTTGGTAGCTAGTGACATATTTGCTACCTTTTTGGAACTCAATAATTGTTCCCCACTTTAGTCGTAACGTAGTAATGAAAGAGTAATATAAAGAGACCGGCGACTGTCGCAAAACACTTTGAAGTTTCTTCAATAGTCCCATATACGTAACAAATACTTAAATTGTTGCTTGGGAGAATTCCGTATGGCCATGTATTGGGATTGGCTATCGTTTTGTATTCTTATCTCGCTTATCCTTTGCGTTAGATAAATTTAATTTTTGACAGCATTCGTTTCAAAATTTGTATTGTATTTGTATAGATATGTATGTCTAAATATAATTTAGAACACAATTAATTGTGTTTGTATTCTAATTTTTAGTTTATAAATTCTAATTTTTAGTTTATAAATATATTTAAATTGAGAAGGTAAGTTTATTGTTTTTAAGTAAATTAAAAAAATAAGATAAAAGTAATTTTAACAGCTGTCAAACACGTTTTTGGGTTATTTTGTTTTGTATTTGAATATAATAAAAAATAAAAGGGTCGTAAAAAACATTGTGTTTCACTTGTGAGAAAATCTTTCTTCAAGCTCGTGTTAATGCACACTCGGCCTGACGGCCTCGTGAGCAACTTAAACACTCGCATAAAAAAGTCGCTTTTCAACACTTGTAAAACAAATAACTATTTCAAGTGTGTGTTTCGCGTAACTTTCAGCGTGTTCCCTTTTTCTATATGGCGGGAGTTCTGGGACACTTTTTTTTTAAGTTTTTGAACGACAATTCAACTTGAAGCAAAAAATTATACCACCCCATACTTAAAAATAAACAATTAATAAGCACTTGAACTTTATGATTGTTGTTAAAATAAAGTAAAAATTTGACAAATTTATTTGCATAATTAAAATAGGTGTTTTTTCCTTGTTTGCAGGAAGATAATAGTTTTAAATATTTTTTACTTTTTGCAATTATGCCGCTTTTTTGGATGATCACTAATATGATTCTGAAATACGTTCTTTATTTTAAAATCAATTTAACCTAACTAACACATTTTTATCATATACTTTTCCAATTAGTTAATTATTAATTAAATTAACCCACTAAAAAACATTTTAACACAATGTTTGGTTTAAAACGCAAATAAAAAGGATTAATCAACGCCAACTTAAATGCCTTTTAAATTTGCATTTTAAGCCATCCGAGATTTTTTTTATTTTGCATCATAAATTTCACGTATCATTGCAAACGATTCATTTAGATCCTTTAGGCAGCGTCTGGCTTGAGCGCCGCAGAGAAGCTTGTAAATAAATAGAAACACCGTCGACAGTTACTTTGTAGACTGCGAGGCGTAAAGGCGCCAGGCGTCGGTGCTAAAAGTGTGTGAAAAGTACGTAAAAATTGTTTCAAGTTGAGAGATAATCTTAAAAGTGCTAAATTTTACTATAATTTGTTGGGTATGCAAATGTTCCACATATTTTAACCAATTTATTTAAATTTGTTAGTTATTATTTCATAGTTTAAAATTTAATGATGTTTCTATGGCCCCTACTTATAATAAACTCAAATGTTTTACAACAGCAATAAAATATTCTTCTTGTGGGCAATTTAAACCCAATTAAAAGTATACGTCTCTTAAATCAAATTTAATCAGGCGTCCTTATAATAAAGTCGGATTTTTTTAATTAAGTGTTTCTGAATTTAATTTTAACACGTAATTACAGCAACGTACTTTTAGTTTACGAGGTAATCCTTAAAATAGTTTCTGGATTCTAAAAATATCAAATAAATTATGTCAATAAAATTTTGTGTTATTTACAGGTATTTACCTAAATAACTAGAAAAAAAACATGATTTAATTAAAACTGTGTTAACATTTTTAGCTGTGTAAAACATGTTTTTTCCTGTTCATATTTTAAATTAAAACATATTGACTTTTGGGTGGTTAGTTCTTTAATGTTTTATTATAATAAAACATATCGCTTTACAAAGTTTACTTTTATGGCTATTTCTTGTTTTACAAACAAATGAGCACCGGGTATAACCACCAGAAGGTACTTAGCATTGAAATAGCACCGGTTTAAGATCTATTTTTGTTTTATGATTGAGCTGCAAAAATTAAGGATCACGCAACGATAATTGAATTTGCTTGTTAAAGTTATAGTCCAATGTAGTCAAATAGACACAGGTGTGCCAATAGGATGTTTCAAATTATTTTTTTGGTCCGATTGAAAAAAAATTGTGGTATGGCAAAAATATTTTTTTTTAATGGGCCTTTAATATTAATTCTAAAAGGTCTTCTATCTACGAGGATATTAAATGATAATTTTAGGAAATTTTATTATTTGAAAAATAAACATTTATGAGGAGTGTCTAATTTATCTCAAAAACAATACTTACTGTAGGTATAGGAAAAATAAAATGAAATTTTTTGGTTCACCAATAGGGTTTAAAAAATGTATCTTTAAAATTAAATAAAATCTCCAGAAAATGGGTTTTAAGAGTTTTCTGTGTTTATTTGTTTTAACCAATAATATAAATTTAATAATATAAATTTAATAATATATGTATACCATTGCTTGAAAAAATGGCGAATGCACTAGGATCAATATCAATATGATAGGAGTCTGTACAGAATACTTGGTAAAAAGGAAAAAATTGAAAAAAATTTGACAATATTTGTTAAGATATTTTTGCTAAATGTTAACCTTTTGAAAAATTGTTATTTTTTCAAAAAGTTCAAATTTAGTAAAAATATCTTGACAAATAGTACAATAGTACATTTGTTTCAAAATTTTATAACTCACAGAATAGTTAGGATTTTGAAATGAGAAGTGCATATTTTTGTTGGAAATTAACTAATCTACAAAAATTTTTCTTTTGTTTTTTCGATAAATGTAAGTGTTTTAAAGATATGGGGATTAATAATACGTTTTTTTCAATATAAAGTATATCCCTTATGGTCTAAGCTCTTAATATGACAAGGGTTATTTAAAACTTGTCCCCCAAATAATTTTGTAATGTAATTATTTATATGACAAATAAATGTTTTAAATGTCTCTCATCCAAGATCGAAATACTTTTTAAAAAATGAATATTTTAAAATAAAATTTCAGAACCAAATGAGAAATAATTAAAAGCTTATTTTAAATATTTAATTAATTGAAGTAAAATTAATATTTTTTACTGTACCTAGTTAAAAAAAGGTAAATTATAAGTTAAAATTTAAAACCCTTACATTTATCAAAAAACTAAAGATACCTTTTTTGTAGATAAGTTAATTTCCAACAAAAATTTATACTACCTATTTTAAAATCTTAACTATTCTGGAAGTGATAACATTAAAACATTTTTTTTTATTAAATACCTGGCTTGCAGAGCCGGCATTATAATAGAGGCCAGGTGCAAACAAAAAGGGCGGGGCTTGAACTAAAAATTTACTCTTAAAAATTAACATAGCGCTTAGTGGCATTAAACTAATAACACATCAAACAATAAACCAATTTAAGGGGTTAGAGTTAAAACCGCCCAATTGCATTTTTAAGTCAAAATTTCTTAAGCGTATTACCGGATAGTAAAAATTTTGTCTTAAAAATGCACTTGGGCGGTTTCAGCTCTAATCCATTCAATTAATATAGAAATTAACGTTTGAGAAAAAATCGCATATTTTTTCCGTGCTTTGGCGGAAGCAAAGGCGTAAATGGTTTTTTAAGTCATATCCAGTTCTTTTCCAACATTTTTCTATATTGACAATATAGCCAAACCCAATAGTCGTTCCACCGTTTTGGAAGCGTTTGAACATGCAGAATGGGTCAAAATTTAAAAAATGATAATTAGTCATTCGATTCAGACGTGCCTCAAACACCTTTATAAAGCATAAATGCAAAGTTTGAACTCAATATATAGCGGATTTTAAAAATTTTATATTTTGACTGACCCTGTAAAAAATTCTATCATGTGTACAAAAAAGGTAAAGTATTCATTTGACTTAAAGGCATGTCAGATATGGGTCATTCCATGACAAACGATACTAAGGGTGAAAAAATAAATATGTTCTTTTTGCATTAAATCTGATGAATTTTGAAACGAAACGAAAAATCATGAAAATTGTTTTATTATTATACCTTACAGATTGATTGAATGCAATAAGTATTATTTTTAAGGCTCTTTCGACGGCCCACTAACGCCGCCATCGGAAAAGCAGTCACACTTCTTTTAAAGAGGTGTGACTGCTTTTACGATGGTGTTGTCGAACCTACCTAAATTTCGGTATTTCTACCGAAATGGCAACGGACCTACCAAAATACCGAATACTTGGATTTTCGTCAATAATTATGTTTCTACCGATTTTTTTACCGATTTTTGGCAATAATAACGATTTTACCCTTTTGCCGATTTATCAATCGCATCCGAAGTTGCTTAAGTTATGTTTAAGAAGAATTCATGTTTATTATGTTTATTTGTTACTAACTTATTTTGGAGTACCTAAAGACTAACAAAACACCGATTTTGTCCATATAAAGTGTTTAATTTTTGTACTTGCAACACCCAAAACAAAGTAAAATTTTATAAAAAAAAATAGTAAAACCTTATTTGTAAAAGTGATTATGTAGTAAATATTATACTTTTGGAGGCCTGTAATTTTTAGGAATGTTTCCCTAAGAAAATTGCGCTGAATTTCAAATAAATGTAACAATGGTCAGAACAGAATCAGAGGCAGAATCGTGAAACACCCGAAACGCACACTATTTGACTTATAAAATCGTTATACCACTAATTTTACAATTTAGATAAAACAACTAAAAACGTAGAGACTTTAATTGCTAAAATGTTATTTTGAAATACATTAAAATTTAGACTTTGGTTAAACAAATCTAACACCCGAAACGATGGAATATGTATCAAACGGTACATTATTTATCTCTAGGCTAATAATAAAATGGCGCCTATAATAATTATTAAAGGCCATGTTAGTACCTATGGTTTTAATATAACACAATACATTTTAGCCGACAGGGGCGCACAGATAAGGGGAGCAAGTAGGGCACGATTTATTATCAATTATTACTTACAAATGTTAAAAATCAACTGGCTAAAAGCCAGTGGTTATAGTTTTTTATTTTAAAATCCTAGATTATTGATCATGCATGCAAAAATAGGCGATATCCATCAAAGAATAAAAAAAATATTCGTATTTCCGATTTTGTTATTAAAATAAAAAAGGGTACTCTCTAAAAATTAATTAGTCAAAAATGACTTATTTAATAGTTATTAGTGGCTGCTTTTTCACTTGTACCATGGTTGACCATGGAATACCATGGTAGCACAAAATTTAACAGCCAATTCTTATGTAAAATTGTCCCCTGAATCCGAAAATACCGTCAAAAATTATAAAAGTGGAGCAGTTTTTGAGATATAGTTAATTACATATTAAATGGAAAATTGAATATATCTCAAAAACTGTTTTACTTTTTCAACTTTTGACTAGGCCATGGACTAGGTTGGCCTATAGGTTAATTCAGCACTGTTTGTTTTAATTCCAGCGATCTGTGATGCTGGAACTCGACAGGATGTCGTACATCTTCGGCAGCTTCGCGCGCCGTCGCCAGAGTCAGGAAGCATCGTCGGCCAAACGGCGTTCGATCGAGCCGCTAAAGATCGTGCACGATCGCTCGAAATCGCAGCCGCACGCGAAGAAGTCGGTGACGATATCGTCGCCCCGAGCCAAGAGCGTGTGCGGACTGCCTTTCGACGAGGGAAAATTCAAATGCAGCATGTGCACGAAGCAATTTGTGGACCCGAGGGTTTTGCCCTGCTTGCATACCTTTTGCTTGGGCTGCCTGCAAGAGCTGGAAAGCAGCAACAAGCCCACGTGGTATGACGAGGAAAGTGGTAAGAAAATCGAAACTGTACACTGGCTAAATGTTGCTATCACAAATATACTTAATTACACCTAAATCACCCTTTATAGATAACCTACAATTAATACTTTTTGTTTACCAAAATTTCATTTTCGTTTGAATAAATAATAAAACAATAAAACAGTATGGAAAAGAGCAGTACGGACAGTCCAGTATTTCTATCTATCTCTTATGCACAGCCATGGACAAAATATATTCATATGGATGGATAAAAATATATATACAAATAAAACAAATAAAATATTAGAGCAATCGGAATACCCACCATGAACTCCAATTGTTTTTGACGTGGTTTAATAAAATACAATGCCAACAGAATAAGCTTTGTTTATAAATACGCAGTCACTCATAGGTTCCGTACCCAGTTCGTGAATATTGCTTACCCTACACAGGATACATTAAAATAACAGGAATATTTAACTAAAGAAAACTCACCGGTATTTTAAAAACCTAACCTTAATTAAAACTCAATTCGGCTTGTTGCTTAATAAAAACTGCTAATTCCACCTGTGTAGCGTGTATGTACAATAATAATAATAAATTTTAATAATCGAGACAAAAACTATAAAAGATCAGACAACAATTTTAAATAATTTAATCTGAATCAAAACAAAAACACCCAATCTACACACAGTGCAACACAAACTGCCACCCACCACATCTTAATAATAATAATAATAATAATTAATTTGCCCAACAGAACAATACATTCCAATAATAGGACAAAAATATACAATTATATGCAAATAGAGAACCTTAGGTTTCAAATATATCTTTAGCAATAGCTAATAAATAATTTAAGCTATTAAAAAACAAATCACATGAATGGCTTATTAAATTGTAATTGTTAGTTATAACATGAACTAATGAGTAAGCTAACATTGCAGTACGAGCATTATTGCAATAAAACATATTACTATTACGAGAATTAAGTCTAGGAACATGTAGATTAAACATAAATAAGATATTAGAACAGTCAATCTCGTTGTGAAAAACTTTGTATACAAAAATTTTAAACCAGAACATACTCTTCGAAAGTCATTAGAGCAATTAGAGCAAGCCCAAGATCCAATTCTCACGCCTCAAGCAGCGAGAAATAGACGCGAGCTTACCTGATATACGAGGTGGGTTCAGAAAATATCGGAAATTTTCGTTTTTTGAAACAAATATTTATTTATTCGTCTACATTAATGTTGTCGCCTTCAAAATAGTCCCCATTGGATATTATGCACATGTGCCAGCTCTTCTTCCAATACTCGAAACACTTCTAAAACTCGATCTTTGGGATAGCCTTTATTTCTTTCAGCGATGCGCTTTTAATGTTATCTATGCTTGCAAAACGACGGCCCTTTAAGGTTTTCTTTATTTTTGGGAATAGGAAAAAGTCAGACAGAGGCATGTCTGGCGAATATGGATTCTGGGGCATCATTACAGTATTGTTTTTGGCCAGAAATTTGGTCAAAATTTAAAAATTTTGGAACAAATTTTGCTACCACGCGTTTCAAACCCGAAATTTCATGGGATGAGCCAATCGATATACCAACATCATCAGCGACTTCTCTAATGGTTTATAACCATTTCTTCCACTTTTTCCATGTTTTTATCGGTTGTTAATATGCTTGTGCGTTCGGGGCGTTCGTCATCTTCAACGTCTTCACGGCAATCTTGGAAACTCTTATACTACTTGTAAACTCTTGTTTTACTTATAGCAGACTCACTGTAGGCCTTTGTTAACATTTCACAGAATTTATTTCATTTTTTAAGCAAAATTGGATACAAATTCTCTTTGATCCATTTCTTTTAACGAACGAAAATCGCCGAGCTCATAAAACACGTCTAACCTTAGCGGCTGCCATAAACAAAGTAAACAATGAAAATAGCTAAAGTTTTTATCATACTTCGGGGGCATGTATACCAACATAATAAATAAAATTTTATGACAACCGGACCCTCCGAAGCCGCGAAATTTAACAATTCCCGTTATTATCTGAACATACCTCGTATTAGTAGGTAAATAGTGTACGCTTTTTGCTAGTAAGTGGAAGCTTCACAGGCTATACAAATTTCGCCTATGTTCGGTCGACTCTTAACGGTGTAGTGGGTTGACGCGTTTTCGGAGTAACGAAATAAAAAACTCCATTTCCATAAAAAATGTACGTTAAATTTGCTAATTGTTGAATAAGTTGAATAAATGCAACAGAGCATTAGCTCTGAAATTTCATTTTAAAGTTCAAGGATCATAAAATCCGGAAGCCACAGTAATTAAAGCCTATTATCGGTACGTCATAAAGGAAACCCTCAAATAAAATAAACTAGGAAATTATTTTAAAACACACTAATCTTAATTTTTTAAGTGAACATTTTAAACCCCAATAAAATAGGAAATATTAAGGCTTTTTAACTAATGGCACTTAGTTTCGTCGAAATAAAAATTATGTTTATATGATCTTTTAGTAGTAAAAATTTATATTTTTAGAAGATTTGTTTAGAAAAAGTATTCGCGGTTTTTTACTAAAAATTTAAACAAAAAACCTTTTGGTAAAGATTTTTTGTATTGAATTTTTCCCTATTTTGACTCACATTTAAAACGCTGTAACAGTTCACTGAATAAACAAAATAACTATTTTATTATTTTTATTTTAAAAATTAACAAAACTGTCAAAATCGAATAACTAAAAATGTTATATTTTTTTTTGTTAAGCTTCAAAATCGGACAGCACAGATTCTAGAAAAACCAGCTCTGGTGGTTCAGGCTATCAAAGTGACAAAGAAAAAAGAGGCAGTCCAACGAATAGCTGCCTTATATTGTGCCCCTCCTGCGGAGCCAGAGTGGTTATTCCCCCAGAGGGTAGTAATGGCTTCCCACCAAATTATACTTTGCAACACCGGATGGTACTGGCGACACTAAATGCTCCAGAAACCTATATTCTTTGCGATCTGTGTTCTTCAGAAGTTACGGTGAGTGTTTTAGGAATTATAGAGTAGAATTACCAAGTATGAAATACTACTAATAATTATATAACGTTTGTACTGACCTTTTCATTTCGCCTTAGTAGTGCAGTTAACTAGATTTAACTGATAAAGCGTTAAAAATTTTGCTTATAGTGCCCATAAAACATTCTCTTCTCTTTCACTGTGAAAAACTACTTCTATATCGATTGTTAGTTGGAAATTTTAACGGGAATTCCAATAAATATAACTGAAAGAATTTTTACTTTGTGACAATACAATTCATTAATATTAGAACCAATAAAATGCCAGCATTCCATAGTCAAGCATTTTATCTCAGCGGCAATATTTTTTATCATCTTGTTTACACGGTACCAAGGATTTTGACACTTTTTTTGATTTAACATTTGTTGTCATTTAAATTCTGTGTTTGATATATATCAATAAAATAATGAATTATAAACTCTAAAAGATCGATGGGTTGGTGTAAACGATAATGAAATTAAGGTAAGTTTGAATAAATAAGGTTTATTAAAGTCTTTTTATATTTTAAAGCAGATTTTAATTTTAAATGTCAATCTGACAAATTTTTTAATTCCTAAAATTCATTGTATTTTCTCACTAAATATAACTCGTGGTATGATTAATAATCGAAGATATTTACTCATTGAAACCGAAGCAGCACATTTCACTCGTCCTGCGGACTTTCAATTCGAAAATATCATCGATGATAATCATACCACTTATTATATTATGGGTGATAATATTTTGCAATTATACTTGGAAATAAAAAAAATCAAAGGATAAAATATTTTCTTAAGATAATCATATTTTGAAATTATTTTAAAGTAATAATTGTTAAGTTTATTTAAAATAATAATAATGGTGAAAATTTTCGTATAGATGTCGCTTTATACAAATATTTAATTTAAATTATTTTTTAGATAATATTAAGTATTTGTCGTGTAAAAAGTATAATACCAATGCAACTCGTTTTTAATCTTTTCTAAGCACTCATTTAATTAACAGGTTTTTAGTCACAGGCTGAAGTAAGTTTTAAGTTAGTTGACAGTTGTCAAATGTCGTATAAAAAATATTTACTAAGGAATCCTGTTAAGTTTTCTTCCATCATTTCTGGTACACCCTGTATAAGTAGATAATTAATCATAATAATTACTGACTAAATAAATAAAAACCAGCATATGTTTCTCCTTAAAAAAGTACCCTAAATGCCAGGAATCATTTTTTATAAATTATGTTAGTGTCAAGTATTAAATTTCATACATATTTTTTTATTTAACCCTTCTGTTAAATTTTTATGTATATTTGAAATATTCAAAACAATCTTGAAGTTTTTATTTTTATTTTATTAATTTTAAATAATTACTAATTACAAAATATTTTAAAAACAAATGTTTATTAGTTAAATACTACCTATCGAAAGAATCTTTATTTTCCCACCTCTTTGTAACGCCCTTGTCATTAATGGCTTTTATACCAAACTATTTATAAACACGTCATTATTTTAAACAAGACACTGCACTGGATAACAGAAGCTACTACTTAAGTTCTCAAATTAATAATATTGAAGTATCTAATAATTAACCGAACCTAAGCTCACTGACAGGACATATTTCTTGTAAATATTTTTTGATCTAGAATATCTAGAATATCACAATTGTTTTTATTAATTATATACTTTGGTTGACAAACATTTTTGCATTAGAGCTACTGTTTTTTAATAAAAAAAAATATGAATGTTTTTGACAAAACCAGGGAGCCACTGGGTGTCACTGACCCATCCTATAAATCATCATTGTTCTAACCTCTAAAAACAATGATATTATTCAACCATGCAAAAAAAAGGTATGCGTAGGTACAGTGTATTATCTAATATCAAGAAAACTTTTAAACTTATTCAAAATCGGTTAGTAGGTACTTTGTTATCATTGATTATCATGACAGTTCGGTTGTTATCGTGGTTTCTCTAGGGCAACATGAACAATTTAGTTTACCAGAGCGAAGTTGACACATTAGAACAACTCCTCGAACTTGTCACTGCAGCGGCAGATAACATCAGAAATCATCCGGATATGATAGCAAGAGCGACACATTATAATTTTCTACTCTTTCTCTAATGGCGGGATGGTTGAACATTTATTATGATTTTGTGGAAGACTTAAGAAAATAGCTACATGAGCATAAATCGACGTAAAAAGTGAAATTTAAAATCGACGGGAATACCGCGGAAACCTCGAGATACCTAACAATAAAAAGTAAGTATTGTTTTATTCAAAGTACCTAAAAATAGCCGAGTATGCATAACAAAAAACAATTATCAACAAAGTAATCAATAACACAAATGTAAATTTTAATGATTTTTTTATTGAAAAAAATGGCACTAATGCAAAAATGATAGAGGAAAAGCTTTATTATTTTGGCGTGTACTATCATCCATTAAAGGATGACAACTTATTTGGTGACACCCTGTATAACATATTTTTAATTTAGACCATACCTACCTGACTGGGTTTAGTTAACATGCCCAAAGCATCTGTGTACACTGTGTACACTTAGGGTAGTCGACACTCTATTTATTTCCCTCTCAGTGTGACTTCCGACGCCCACAAATCAAATTAAGGGTACACTTTGAAATCTTTACTGTAATTTTTTAAAGTTAACAAGATATTTATCTTACATTTTAAGTTAATACACAGAGAAAAATTTGTTGAATTTGGTTTAATAATTCTATGAATTTGTTCAACAAAGTTGTGCTAAAAAGGTAAAAGGAACAATTTGTGCCAAATTGTAGCAAATAATTGTAATAAACTAATTATATTAAAAACTTACATAATTTATTTGACATTTGAACATATTTTAATCTAATCGGCTCATATAATTTGTGTAAGTAAATGAGTACTTTAGAGACTTTTTTAATATAATATTTTGTGGTAAAATTGCACAAATTGAGGAACATAACACAACATTATTATAATAATTTCTCCATTTATTTAAAATTTATGGGATGCGATGGTGGTAAAAAGGAAAATGAAACAAAATTATTAATTTAGATACCTATGTATTCAGCGACTTACAAAAAATATGGAAAATAGAATACCTAAACTTAATATAAACTGACACTGGCAACAAAAAATAAACTTAACAAAACTACAAACTGAAAAATAAAATTCGTATAGCTAATTCTAATAATATTGAGATATAATTCAACATGAAGTGCGTCTCCACTTATAATAGTACAAATGTCGATAGATTAAATATGTATTCAGCGACCAAAACAAAAATGTTGTAAGGATAGAATTAAGTTAATATAAACTGAAAACATAAAATAAACATAAATTACAAACTTAAGTAAGCTGATCAAGAATGTAGCATAGTGGGGACATAGAAACACTTTTTATCCGCATTTGATCACCAGGCCATAGTTATTAATTATAATAATAATATTCAATAATTACTCACCAGAAATGTGCTGCCGTACTTTGGCAAAACCTAGTAACTATGATTTTGTAACTTTTCAGGACAGCGTATTTTCTAAAATTGCATAGCTTTTCTTTGCAACAAAATATTTAAAATATCTAATGATCAATTCCTACATAATTTTTAATGAGGAATTTGAAAAATAAAAAAAAATTTCAAAAAAATAAGTAATTTGTTTACAAATATGAGTTACTATATTTTGTTAATTTATTTATATAAGTAATTATGCAAAAGCTGGCCATATGAATTGCTAGGTTCTGTATTTTTTAAATGTTTTTAATATGATTGAGTAAAATATAGTAAATCGACTATAAGTTTAAATAAATAATTATTTAGGTTTTTTACCATTTTATTTAGTGAAAATCCAATTAAAAAAGTAAAATTCAACATTTAGATATTATGGTAAGTAAATCCAGAACAATTTTTTTCTTTAATCTCTAAATAAGGGACAAAGAGTCTTTAACATTGTTCCTTTCTTTTTAGTTTTTAACCCCACTGGTTTCAAATACGGTGCCACTGGTAGCTTAACTTCAAATTTGTTCTTCTGGACATATATTGAACTTTCTTAATTATAATAAAATACCGTTATTACAAGTTACACACACTATTCCAAACGTTAAACTAGTCTGGTAAAGTCCAATTTATTAAAAACAGATTTTTATTTATTTATTTAGTGTGCAAATTACTTAAATCATAATTCAGCAAGTAGTAGCATAAAAAGTTTTATGTTGATTAAAATATGCACAAATTAATTTATTAAAACATCAACATTCAAGTAGCCAGATTTTAATCTATGCTGAAATATACATAAAGCTTAATATTAATTATTTAATAACTTTAAAATACTCCCGCCAACAGCAGCTTTATTATTACCACTAAAAAATACTTTGCATTAAAACTAGCAACTTGAGTTACTAGCTTTTACTGGGTGAAATTTAAAAAAAAAACTTTGTTGATAGTAACTTTATTTGCCATAATATGGCTAAAAACTGTTAGGTATCCTAAAGCAACATATTATGTTGCTTTAGGATACCTAACAGTTTTTAGAAGTTACTAAAAATATAGATAGACATTTTACAGCCACCCTAATATAAAAAGAGATAAAAAATACTTACTAGAGGTAAATTTGTACGCTAAATCCAAAAAGGCAGTAATTTTTTAAAACCTAGTAACTTTAGTTACTATGTTCTACCAAAGTACGGCAGTGTGGTACTAACCTTTCTAATCTGTGGTACTAACCTTATTTCAAGCAGGAAATCATTTCATTGGTTATCTTAGGTGGTGTGATGCTTCACACCCGAACAAATGGTCCAATATTCTAAAATTTATATTCTTACTCAAAATTATACTATATTTATTCAAATTATTTTAAAAACTGTAGAAAAGAGTAACCTTTATTTTTGAAATATTTTTAACAGATTTCAACTCTTTTCTTGACAATATTGTGCAAATGGTTAAATATAAAATCTTACTGTTTCCAACAAACTAATTAGAAAAACCAATCCGACTATCTTGGATAACGTAGCTACGTAGTACATTTATAGAAAACGATGCTTCAATGGCATGTTGCACAACTTTGTGCAATGTTTTTCCAACGGATTTTTCTCTGTGTAGTTGAGATATAAAGTCAAATTTAATATTTAATTTATTTCAGGCAACGTCTCGATGCTCAGAATGCGCGATAAGTTTCTGCCTCAACTGCGAGGAGGTGCATCAAAGACGAAAATCGACTTCGGACCACGAGATCTTGTCGCTGGAGGAGGCGCGACGAAGAGGAATCACCAGAATAAGGCGACAAATTATGTGCATAAAACACCCAGACTTAGAGCTGTCAGTTTTTTGTTCCAGTTGTTCACAGGTATTTCGAAATAAATTACCAACGCAACGTAATTTATGTTGTCTACCCACCGAAACATAATGCCTTGGTTCTTTTCGTATCACGCATTTAATACTTTGTTTGTAGTAAAATAGTTTATTAAAATACTACACTTAAAGTTCAAATAAGCTTTCCATGTATCTGTTCAATGTAAGTAAAGTAAGCACATCTATGTGTGGCATAAACTATTTATCATCTGCTTTGATATATTTGTAGACACATTTCAATTTCAAAATTACTGCATATGGGTCAATCCATATCAAATCAACCAATTTAATTTGAAAGGTTATTATTATTAGATTTTTGTTTACTTACGAGCAAAAGGCGCAAAAGGCGCATTTTTTAATGAATTCGTTGTATACTTTTGCAGGTATAAAGGCTTACTTAATTTTACATAAACAAAAAAACAGGAACATTTCAAGCTGTATAAAAATATATTTTCATCTTTCCTTTTAATTGAGTTAAATTATAATAGTAAAGACCGTATGAAAACATTATTGCCATCCGTCTCTTTAATCTATAAATACCTATATTAAGCCAACATGTCAATTTTAAACCTTTCACTTGCTAGCGGTTGTTTTTGTTGACATCCTCTACGTATCAACACATAAATGAAGAAGCTGATGCAAAAAGGAAACTAGTCAAAATATTTTTACTTCCTAATGTGTAAAAGAAATAATGGTATTTTAAAAATAACTACATCAAATTTTTAGATAATAATTATTTTATTCACTTTGGGGAAATTTAAATATGCTTAGTCGTACGCAGATTTGAGTCGGCGTAATTGTCCCCAAAAACCAAAATGTCTGTCCCCCTTCCCCACCTCCTTTTGTTCCTAATGGGCGTTTACACGCAAAGCAATTTGTTGTCAACATCAATATTTTTATTACAAATAAATATTTTTTTCTTTTTTTTAATGTGTTAAATAGGAGTTATTACGTATTATAATAATTAACTATAATTTAATCGAAAATTTTAAAGGTTTTTATTTTTTAAATGCGTTTTTAGATTATCATTAAGCACTGTTTTGCAGAAATAATTCACAAACTTTTTTATTCAAAATAAATATAATTTTTTTTTCTTTTTACTATATTATATAAGAATTATAATACGTATATTAATATATTTCAATCAAAAAAACATAAAGGTTTTTAACTTTAAATGCGTTCATTGAGCGTCAAATAACCTAATACTTTTTATTTTTTACTTTATTATGTATAATTAACTATATTTTAATTGAAAAACATAACGGTTTTTATTTTTTAAATGCGTTTTATATGGTCCTATAGATCTATAGATCATTAATTGAGGAAATAATTAAAAAACTTTTTTATTGCAAAGAAATATTTATTTTTTTATTTTTTAAGGTCTTTATTTTTTAAATGCCTTTTTTAGATGTTCGCGGTGAAACGATTGCGAAAATAATTCAATAACTTTTTATTGTAAATAAATACATGTTATTTAACTATTTTATCTATTCCTACATTGACGAGCTGTGACTTTATGGCGTTTTAGTCACGGGCTGAAGTTAGTAATAGTGGCTTTTGGGCATTTTAGTCACGGGCTGAAGTTAGCTTTATTATAAATTAGAGAAAAGTGAGGTTAATTCCGTTGACATTTGACAGATGTCAAATGTTTAACAAATAAAATTGGATTTAAATTCTTCTTTGAGGTCGCCGTAGATAAAGTATAGTATGCAACTCGTTTTATAAACTTATCTAGACACTTGTTTTTATTAAACACTCGCTTGCAAGCTTCGCTCGTGCTTAATAAAACTCGTAACTTAAATTGTGTTTATAAAACTTGATACATAATATACTATTAAGCACACTTTAAGAAATAAATAAACATAATTTTAATTTTAACATTTATTCCATGAATAATTCCTTAACTTCTTTAAGTATAGGTAATAGGTAATTAATTATTAATCCTATAGAATAAGTATACTTTGTATAAATTTTTTAATAATATTAAAAAAAAAATTAATAAATGTTTAAATATTTATAATAATTAATAAATTCAACTAAAACTAAGTCTTATGAGCATAGATCTGTGCGGAGACAATGCCTTAGTTACTTATTTCTTGTTTTACACAAACAATGCAAATCTTTACAATGGGGTAAGTTGCTTGTTTTACACATTACCAGTACATTTTGTTACATTTTGCGACAACTCTCTTACAGCACACTTAATTTAATACTATTTCTTTCCGTTTACGACTCGTATACTCATAGTCACTCAAATGTAAATATGCTCAGTATAATTTTTTGAGATAATCCACAAAATATAAAATCGCCTCAATTTTTTAGGTGATCTGTCGAGAATGCGTGTCGGAGTCCCACAGGGGTCATCTTTGCGAGCCCATATCGCGAGTAGCAAAATCGCATTTCACCAACATGAGATTAGCGGTGGATAAAGCGAAATCGGTGATGGAGCAATCAGCTGTTGCTGCGAACCGACTTCACATGACTTCGAAGAAAATAGAGGCTCAGTGCGTCAAAGTGCAAGGAGAAGTGGAAAAGTTCATCGAGAGTTACATAAAATCCGTGGAAGATCACAAAGAAAGCCTCCTGGGGCAAATCAAACAAGTCAAGGAGGACAAATTGGATGCCATCAACCAGGAAAAAATCAACCTACAGCAGAAAATAAACGACGCACGCGATGTGGCGTATTTCCTCGACGAACTCTTGTACGACGGTACGGACGTCGAAGTGTTGAGCTTCGTGAAACCCGTCATGGACAAGATGGAAGGATGCACCTACGGTAAAATCGTCTCTCCCAGGCTCTCTGACAGCATCACTTTTCTTCCCGAGGAAGCTGTCCAATGTGACAACAACTTCTACACGCTCTACGGCGTCATCTCCACGCAATCCGTCTCCCCCAGGCACTGCGTCATCAAAACAGAAGGTAACAAAACAGTTTTTTCTACTTCCACCTTTAAAACGCCCATCTTGTAAATACACATGCATGGGTGTTTTACTACAATTTCTTTTGAGATTTTTTCGAAATTATGGCGTTTTTTAAAGTATAAGCCACGCACGATGCTTTTGCAACGTTTTTCGTAAAGTTTTTACCGCATTTATTGAACAGCAATAACTATTTACAAGGTATTTATAAGCCACGCCCGGGTGTTTTATACCAGGTTCTTTATTAAGCTTGTGTTATATTTGTAGCAGACAGCAGAAACATGAACAGAAACACCCAACCTAAACTAACATTAAATATTTTCGATTTCCAAAAAATAAAGATCTGGCAGCACAGTGGATAAATGCATGCAAGAGAAAGGATTAAATGAAAATAAAAAACGGTAAGAAAAGGCAATTTTTGGTATAGGTACCCAATTTTCTGTTAGGTACTTATATTTAGTAACTTTTTACCCAAACCACAATTTTTTTTACAGCTTGCATAAAAAGATTCATTTTCCACAATTAAACATTTTGACTGACACAAAAAAATTTAATTAATAATAAAAGGGACCATTTGTCGGAAAAACCAAATTTAAGCTTCTTTAATAACCAGCCTAAATTTATTTTGAAATTTTTTTATGTGAGACTTTAGAAGAAAAAAATCTACGGAAAGCGCTGTAAACTTAAAATGGTTCCAAATTTGTATCCAACAGGCTTAAGAATTAAAAATTTGCCCAAAAAACAAATGAAGTGGTACCTTCTAGCTGATAAAAAAACTTTTAGGCATGCAGATGAACTTAATGAAGAGCTACAAGCCCATTAATAGAGAACATTTGCATAATTACAAGCCTTTTAAAATAAAATTTATTAATTGGAATAAACAGCCGTTTTCAAGTAATTTGAAAAAACTAAAAACCTGTCAAAACCAAAAATCGTACACGGAAAGAAATTTGAAAAGTATTTATTACCATTCATATGACTGTTATTTTATCTAGAAGTTTTTAGGATAATTTTTCAGTATTGCAGTAATATTTGATTTCATAAATATAATTATTACAGTATGAAAAACAATAATTGTTAAAGGATTATTATTGTAAATGTTCTCAAAATAAGAACAATTTATATCTTCCATATAGCATTATTTGTTATCGCAAGTGTGGTAAAATAATTCATTCGCATTCTTAGAGAAATAATTTGAATACTGAACTTCTTTCTTGTATTAAATTTAGAAAAACGTACTAATATTTAAAAGTTAGAAACATCCGAATTAACTTTCAGGTTTATTAGTATTCTTGTAAACCAAACAAGAATCCTATCGTTGAATACTACGATATCCTGGCAATTTTTGATTGAAATCGCGTTCAGAGCCTAATTTGCTCCGCCAATAAGAAAACTTCGCGCTTGCACTTGTTACCGTTAAAAATTGCAGTTGGGAAGGGCTGGATTAAGAAGGTCATTACTAGTGGAATGTCTATGCTAGACAGTTTATGCACCTATAGTTAGTTTTGTTTTATTTAAATAGTGACCGCAAAATGGACAAAGTGAAAGAAATCATGGACTCGTGGAATTTAGCAAACCTATATCCCATCTTAGAAGATAGGTGTATACATATTAATTATTTAACATTATCTGTAAGTAAGTAAACATCATTTAAAGAGGTTAAAGTAGACTATTTTGATGAACACTACAATGCATTTAAAATTTCATGCAAAAATAGTTCTACATTTAAGTTAATATGTTTTGAAGATTTATTTGATCCATTTCCATGTACATTAAATAATAGCGAAATTGGTAAGCAAGTGGTAATTAGAAACCCTATTTAATTGTAATTTCAATTGTTTCTTATGTTTTAAACTTTCGTATTTTACTTTTTTTTAATGTCTGGGCATTTATGAATATTTTTTATAGTTGTTTACTTTTCTAATCAAATTGTGATATTTATGTTTTTTTCATTAAATCGATCATTTTAATAACCTTGTAAATCCATAAAATTTCATTCTTTCGTTTACTTTTTTCTTTATTTTTTATTTTTACTTTTCTATAAATGGTGGAAGGATTTTAAAATGATCAATTTATAAAAATACGTTTCTAATATAAAGTGTTATTTTGTTTTTGTTTTTTATTAAAAATAGATTTTTATTTGTTATGTTATTGAAAATTCAGTCTTGTAGAAAAATGTTAGGTACCTTTTTATTATAATAATTTATTTTTCTTCAATTACAATAATAATCCTTATATGAAGTTATATTTTGTTTTTGTTCAATACATTTAATATTTTTATTAAAAAATAGATTTTCTTTTGTTATGTTATTGAAAATTTGTATTAAGTTCAGCCTTGTTGAAAAATGTTATTTTAATAATTTTAATAATATTTTTCTTTAATTACAATAATAATTAGGTCATTTGAAGTAACTTTTTCCTAATAATTTTAATTTTAATTTTTATAAAAAAACAGTTTACATGATTGATCACAGTGTTTTTCATAATACCCTGAAGGTATTCTTATAAATAAAGGTTTTATATTTTTAAATAAATATTTGTTTTATGATTAATTGCTTTTACTTACTTACCCTTTCCCCTTTCCTGGTATAATATAAATAATTTTATAGTAATCCCTAAAGAAATAGTAAAAAATATATAATAAAAATTGCCTTACTGCAAGTTATTTTTTCGCAGAATATAATAACAACATTTGTAATAGTGTACTAATAAGAATGTCAAGTACTTACTGAATCTTTTTGTCAAAATCAATTATTTTAATTATAGTTCAAGAATGTGACTAAATAAAAAGATTTATAATAATTAATATTATGTATGCTTCAGAAACTTTAAAGTTATATCTAATAGCTTTTATTATTATTGTAAAGTATTTTACACAGTGCTATACTAATACAAGTTACCGTTCTTAAATCTTGTAATTTTTATTAATAAAAACTGCAAATATTGTAGGAAATCCTGGTAAATGATGTGCTAGAATATCCTGGTAAAAGAAGTCGTATATTCACTTTGTCACTATATGAGTCGGAAATCCTGGTAAATTGTGTCAGTATACTGGCAATTATTGTTAATTTTTTTTTCCGTGTAGTAATTACTTTTAATAATAAAATTACTTTTAATAATAAAAATAAATTTCATACAATTTCTTCGCTACTATAGTATATATTTTGAGTTACCATCACCATCTTTTCTTTCTATAATGGCCGCAATAACTTGGATTCCTTGATTTTTATTCTATCTAATAATGAAAAATTTCAATATGGCGGCCATAGAAAAAAGCTATAACATGCACATCAGCATACCGGTTTTTGTGTATCGTGATCTCATGCAAAAATACAAAAGTATTAAATACTTTTTGACACCAATATTTGAAAAGATTATATAGGTAAACGTTTTTACTGACCTTTTGATTTCGCCGTGGTAGTGCAGTTAACTACACAGCAAACGGAAAAATATAGAAGTGTATTGGATGACGCCACGTTTGAATACAGTTTTCTAAATCTCGCCACGGTATAGAGTTGTATTCGTCAGTCGAGCGTTTCAATATTCTCCACAGTATAGAGGTCGTAATTTCACTTTTGAAGTAGTATTAATATGAAAACTATTTTATGTTTCAAAAAAAACTATATACGACATGATTGTGATTTTTTTCATTTTATTAATTAATTAAGCTGTGTTGAATATTTTTACTAAAGGAATAATTGCCAATGGGCCATTAATTCATTTGTTCGTAGATGCTACAATAACCTGCACTGGTGTGTACTTTCATCAACCAGATTTAAATATTGCTGTACTAACATATACCAGTGGAGATAGTGCAGGGTCTACCAACAGACCTCATTACTAAATTATTAAAGTTTAATAGCATATCGATCATTTTTTCAACATAACCTCTGAAATTTTTAATACAAATATAGGTACTTTATAAAATACATAAATATACTTTACATCATATCCTCTGTGCTTTACATACCCGAGTTGTTACGGTAAATAAAAATCAGACAAATGAACCAAAGAAAGGAACTATTTTCAACAAAATCATATGCAGAAATGAGAAAATTTAAACTACTTGCATCCATCAAAAGATCAAAACTTCTTGCAATATTACACCCTTTTTATACTCTCAGAAATATTGACTAGAACAGTATTAGAGAGACTCCAGTTTCTATAACTTGGTAGAGCAAAGAGAAGTCGAAACCGTTGCGATATTACATTGCGCTGTTTTTGTATAATTCTCGGGGACATTAACGAAAATCCTTGCCAGTAAAATTCGAAAAGCTTGAGTTTCTATGTCTCTGAAGAGCATAGGAATCCGAAGTTGCTGCACCATTGGACTGAACCCTTTTTCAATAATTTCTAGAGACATAAATGACTGCACCATTCTACAGGGTCGAGTTTCTACCTCTGTTGAATATAGAAAATCAAAATAATGTATTTTGTAAGACACCATTGAGTTTGACTTTAAATATAGTCGGGCATAGGTATAGAGCCGAAAAATATAAAAACAAAGCACGATTCAATACAGTTCTGATAAAACTTTAAGATTTAATATTCAAACGCGGAGTCATCCTATACAGTTCTATATTTTTCCGTTTGCTGTGTACATTTAACTGACAAAGCGTATAAAATTTTGCATACAGTGACCATAAAACATTCTCTTTTCCTTTACTCTAAAAAGTTGCTTCTATATCGATTGATATTAAGGGATAAATTTTGATTTACACAGAAAAATTTTGAAGTTGGACATTCTAACGCGAATTCCAATAAATATAACGCGAATTCCAATAAATACAACTGTCACTTTTTGTACCTTTAACATTTCCCGTGTAAGAATTTTTAATACTTTGTGATAATATTTTGCAATTATATTAATTAAAAAAATCAAAGTATAAAATATTTCTAAAATAATCATATTTTGAAGTTATTTTAATATTTTAAAGTTTCAATACTTGACAAGTATTAAGTTTAATTAAAATAATAACGGGCAATGTTAATGGTGAAAAT